GTTACAAGGTGGTACAAAATGTACATTAATGCAATCCTTGACCATGAGTTTATAAGTAAATATCCGGTCAAAAGTTATAAAATTGCCTTATTTGTAATTAAATGTTGGTAAGTTGTTTGGACCAATCAGATCTCGTGGGCTAATCTGGCCATGGGCAGTTTATAAGCTAGGATGTAGTGCACGCCCACTTAGCTTAGAAACTATGCCGATCATTTGGCTGGGGTGAAGGATTTTCTTTATTTACCTTTTTTGGACATGTTCAAACATAAACGGTTAGATGATCAACCAACTCGTTTCATTGTTAAATAATCATTAGCCTCATCTTTGATTCATTCATAATCGAGATAATCATGCGTGATGCTCATGTGAATGCGCCGAACTCCGATTATACGATAAAATTTTTTTTCTTAATTAGTTCTTGATTTTCAAAAAAGGAAATAATTAAAAGTCCATTATATGCGCTTATTTCGCTTTTTAACTTGAAACGCTTCAAGCTTTTTGATTCATTCTAATTATAAATTGTTGATACTTCTTACAATGCAGAGCATTATATTAATTTCCTTATAAACTTAATTTACCGGTGAATTTAGCGATTAATAATTTGTGCCGATCTGACGATTTGAATCGTTTTGTTGAAAAAAATTTCTATATAAATAAGGATTTTATTTTTGTAAGTCTTTTTAAATTTTTTTTTTTCTAACAAAAACATATAATACTAACTGATAACATCAAGATGAATAATACTATAAGTACAAAATATTGTGTCGAGGAGGCCATATCAAAAAAAATTATTAAATATTACAAATATGATAATTTTAATAATATTGAAGAAATTGGTATCGGAAATTTCGGAAGAGTATTTCGTGCTAATTATAAAAATTCACAACATTATTTAGCGTTAAAATCCTTTTTTAATTTTAACGAATTCACTCTAGAAAAGATCGTTCGTGAGGTATTCATTTATATCTAATATATATACTATGTTACGTCAGCTGACAGCTGACGTGCGTCAGATGACGGCTGGCTAGTAATGCTGGCCAACCTACTTAAGGCATTATAATATTTGGAAATATTGATAATGTAGGCCGGCGTCATCTGACGCAAATCGGCATCTGGCGCATAACATATATATTTTATTATGCACGTTCAAACACGCAAATCACAATTTTTTATTCATAGTTTTATTTTTATATTAGCTCAAACGTCAAAGAGACGTGAATGTTCATCATAACGTTATTCGCTTTTATGGAATTGCAAAACTTAATTCGAGTAAGATAAAACTAATTTAAATTAAATTAGTTAGATTATTTGACTTTTTGTAAAAAGAGCTAATATACATATTTTTTTATTTATTCGTAGAAAATGAAATTGATCAATCAAAAAATTACTTGTTAGTAATGGAGTATGCCAACGGGGGTAATCTTCGTAACTATTTAAAAAAAAACTTTGATGTTCTCACTTGGAATGATAAATGCAATCTGGCATATCAGCTTACCTGTGCTATATCATTTTTACATGATGATGATATTGTGCATAGTGACTTGGTAAATAATTACTACATATTCGTGAATTTAATTTAATTGACATATATTTACTGAATATTTATGATAGCATTCCTGTAATATATTGGTACATCAAAATTCTATAAAGTTGGCAGATTTTGGCTTATCAAAAGAAATTGATATAGTATCAAAATCACATACAAAATCATTTAATATGATTCCTTACATTGAACCAAAAAAATTCAACATACAATCATATTCATTAAATAAAAAAAGCGATGTCTACAGTGTTGGTGTACTCTTATGGGAGATATTAAGTGGTAAACCACCTTTTGAAGACGAATCTGATGTCAATTTAGCCGTTCGAATTTTAAAAGGTCTTAGAGAAAAAATTATTCCCAATACTTCTATTGATTATGAGAAACTTTATACTGGTAAGTATAACGATAAAATTTAAAATATTTCAATGGCTAAATTTATTAATAAAATTATACAACTTTGATATATTTTATTAAATACTTAGAGTGTTGGGATGACGAACCAGACAATCGACCGTCAATGAATGAAGTCGTCAAAAGATTAAGAACAATTATTTATCGACAAAATGAAAGTATTGATAATATAACTTACCAAATATCAAATGAAAATTCAACTTCATTAAATGAATTAAATGAAGAATCATTAATTAATCATACATCAACAAATTCAAATGTTGATGAAGATTTATGTGAAATAGTTAATGATATATTAATGAAAATATGTGAAATAACAAATGAAGGAAAAGAGCAACCTTACCTTTTTCTTGATTATCTTAATAATTTTGATATAAATGTAGAAGAAATTCGTAAAAAGATATTAAGTAATCAAAATAATCCAAATTATCAAAATAATCCAAATTTTATTTTTTTACTTGGATATTTTAGTTATTTAGGAATTGAAACTATTAAAAATGAAAAGAAAGCATTTCATTTATTTATTAATGCATCCGAACAAGATCATCTGTTGGCACAATATTATGTTGGAAAATGTTATGAATTTGGTATTGGAACCATAAAAGATGAAAAATTAGCATTTAAATATTTAGAAAAATTCATTAATAGAGATTATCCAACGGGACAATTAAAAATTATTCAATATTGTGATAAAGAAACAGATATTAAAAAAGATTTTAGAATAGCTTTTCATTGGTACGAAGAGGCCGCACGTAATGGGAATGTAATAGCTATGCGTAATCTTGGACTTTTGTATATAAACGGAAATGAAATTGATAAAGATTATCAAAAAGCATTTGAATTATTTAGAAAATCAGCTGATGGAGAATATTTAGGTGAAATTATAATGTTGGGATATTGTTATTATTATGGAATTGGAACTAAAGTTAATTTCAAAAATGCATTTCAATTGTTTAAAGAGTCAGCAAATTTGGGACATAAAATAGCTCAATGTAATCTTGCTTTTATGTATGAAATAGGAAAAGGAGTTAAAAAGAATATAAATCAAGCAATATATTGGTATGAAAAATCTGCTGAACAAGGTAATCTAATTGCTCAATTTCAATTAGATAAATTTGAGAAAATTAAGAAAAAAAAAGAAAATTCTTCATGGAAAATAATTTTAAAGTATATACAGTACTTTACTGTACTGCTGTAATTTTTATTTATGAAATAGCAAAAACGATATGAATGTAATGGGTTTTAAAAAACCTACACATAGAAAAAAAGTTTTCAGCACGAATATTATGGTAGTGTAATAGCAATAAGTAATTTTAAGAAAAAAAACAAATAAAATAAAAAAAATCCTGTAAGCATAGTAACATACTATTACATTAAACAAAACGCATGTTTCACATTTTTTTTTTTTTTGAAGTCTCGCAAAATTTTATAGTATTTAAGGGTGTTATTTAAGGTGTCATAACAAAAATTTTTTTGAAGTCATTAATAATATACTACTTCTTAACTTATATAACTGATCTTTAGAAATTGCCGTATTTTTTAAATTTAATTAATGACCTAAATAATAAAATTTTTTAATAAATAAATTTCTTATCAATTCATCAACATTGTAAGTTCTTCTATTAAAATAATTGATTGCTGTCTTGGTTGTCCTATTCAGTTTTTGTATTTACTTTATTCTTACAGAACATTTCGTAAGTATAATACCAAACTAGATTAACTAATGTGAGAGTTTGGATATCATTAATATTATCAATCATCGGAATATATTATATATGATAATTTTGAATTTTAATAGATTCATATTTCTCATTCGTAAATGATATATGGCCTGATCATTATTTAATATGCTTTTCATTGAGTATGATATTAAAAGGCCAACCCCAATTTATGCCATATTTTAAAATATTATTTAGAGTTTTTGCAACAATTTTGTGGTAAAAAAAGAAATAGAATTTGGAAGTGTAAATTATAACTTCTATTTGCCACAATCACACAAAGTATATGAAAATAATGTAATATTGGAATATGGATTTTACAAAAAAATGAATCATCACATAGTATAAGGCTAAATATAAAAAAATGACAATTCTAAGATTAATTAATTAGTTTTTTTTTTATCATTAGTGTGACTTGAAAATATTTACTTTACATAATTAATTTAAATTATTGTTTCACGTTATATATTTCAAACCCATACTAATATAATTAAAAAAAGTAACTCATAACAGAATATAGTACCAAATAAAGTTAATAATAAATTATACAAAAATTTTCCATTTGCGTTTATTTAATTTATTTAATTTGTTTTGGGCACCTTGATCTCCTTGCTCAGCAGACTTATTATACCAATAAGTTGCTTGATTTATATCCTTCTTAATCCCTTCTCCATTTTCATACATTAAAGCAAGATTATATTGAGCTGAACTATTACCAAAATTTGCAGATTCTTGATATAATTCAAATGCTTTTTGTTTATCAATATCAGTTCCAATTCCTTTTTTATAACAACATCCTAAATTATATATTCCACCTGAATTTCCTAAATTTGCAGCCTTTTGATATAATTCAAATGCCTTTTGTTTATTAATATTAGTTCCAATTCCATTATCATAACAATATCCTAAACTAAATATTCCACGTGGATTTCCTAAATTTGCAGCTTCTTGATATAGTTCAAATGCCTTTTGCTGGTCAACACTGATTCCAATTCCTAAAACATAACAATATCCTAAACTAGTTATTCCAAATACATTTCCAGAGTTTGCCACATTTTGATATAAATCAAATGCTTTTTGTTCGTCAACATTGACTTCAATTCCAAAATGATTAAATACTCCAAGTAAAAAGGTAGAATTTGAATCATTTTGATTATTTAATAACCAAGCATAAAATTCTTGTGGAGTTTTATTATGATTATTAAGATAATTAATGACTTTATGTTTTTTTCTTATCATTTCTGTATTTTCAAGATGAAGTATTATTTCATTAACCATTATGTTAAATTTATTATTTGATGAGATTAAAGGTTCTATTTCGACTGTACTCATATTATTAAAATTTTCAATAAATTGGGACATTTCTCCATGTAATGAATTATCAATAATATTTTTGGGAACTTCAATATTATTCTTCTGTTCACTTGATAATTGAACATTTTCTTTTTGAATAATTTCATCTAATTTTGCAATAACCTGGTTGACAGTTGGACGATTATCTGGTTCATAATTCCAGCAATCTGATATACATAAGCTTATAATTAATCAACTTTGCTAACAACTAAAATTTTACGTAATGTATTGTACGATACTTGTACAAGTATTGTACAATATATTTAAATTCTATAATGAATTGTACAATAGTTTTGGATTATAAATTGTCAAGTATATATTAATACACAAGCACTTGTAATTTATTTAGCCACAATTATATTTTAATAAGTCATCTTACGATTTTAAACAATTTTTTTTACTTATACATTACACATGGTTTGTCATACATATAACGAACCATATAACTACTACGTTGTTATTTTTCATTGACAGCTAATAGTAAGTATTTTAACCTGATTAACCACGCACTTTAAGACGATGAATTACTTCTCCTTAATTTGGCTCGTTAAGGAGGTTCCTAACATAATGTTAGTGTTTCATTCACTTATCCGCTGGCGGTCAGACTAAAATATTCTTTACTAATAACTTTTCACGCACTCTTTCTTACTTTTCACACCAATAGTATAAAATTTATTAATACAAATTTGATTCATAATTAAATACAAATTTTTATGCACAACATGCAGTAAATGAAGTAATCCATCTCTTAAGTTAATATTAGGTTTGTAATGCAAAAGGCGTTTAGTTACATTTGAATTTGACTTTTTGATAGGTGATTTATCCGATTCCTCAAGAGATTCATTATTAAAAGAGGTACTGTTATGAGGAGTATTAATATCCATAATAAATTCATCGAGAGTTGGATCATCAAGTAGATCATTGCGTGCATCATCAAAACTTTCACCAGATGGGTTGGATGAATTTCCTTTTTTTTCCTACTCAGGTTATTAAAGTTAGATCATCATATAAAATCATGGAAAAAAATTAACAAATTAATATCTTACTGGATTCCTTAATAGTACTGTTTGATGTTCTTTGACGTTTATACATAGTTTTATTTTTGCTTGTAGTATTGTTTGTTTTGTTAATGTTGTATGATTTTGAATGAGTTATTTTTACCATTGTTAGAAAAACAACTGCAAAGTTGTAAAAGTAGGGAGTAAAAAATAAAAAAATAAAATAATTTTTTAACAAGATGAATTTTAATAGACTTTATAAATAAATTATTAAACTAATTTAGACTATTTTTATACCGCAGTCAATTTAGCAAAGATCTGTGTGACATGATATATTTATGTAAGATGATGCTAACTAATACTAGTTACTTTAATTTGTATTTATTTATTTCGTAAAAAAAAAAATAAATTATTATTTCTACATTATTTTCTATTTTTTTCAGTTTGCGGATCTTTTTTTTAAGCTTTTTTAACTTCTTTTTATTATTTTAACGAAGCTTATCTGTTAATTGGTTATATTTTATTTTTTCAGCAAAAATTTTTCCTTTTCTTTTTTTCCATTTCTCCTATTTCCATTTCTCTATTTCCTTATTATTTCCTATTTTCCTTATTACTTCCTATTTTTCTCCCACTTGTACTTGATTTAAAAAAAGGTTGAAAGCACATCATGCAAGATAATGAAATGTTTCTATGTTTCAATTTTTTTTTACAGTCCCTGATGCGACATTTTGGTAAGTTTGTCAAGATTTATTTCTTTGTTTTATTTTAATGAACGATTTTTAATGGCTTGTTTCTTAATTTTTTTAGATGGTTTGGTTCTATAGATACTTAAACATATAGGAATATGGTGGGAAGATTTTTTCATAATTATTTATTTTACAATACAAAATGCTTCCATCTATTTTTATTTTTTTCTAGACGGCCAGGCCTTTGGACATGTGAAATTTTAGTAGGAGGACTCCAAATTTTTTTTTAGTCAAGATCTTCAGGACGCATAGTAGTAAAATCTGAAAATATTCTTTTTTAACATTTTGATTTTACTCTTTTTTTAGACACGTAGCATTTGGTAGGAGATTACAAGAATTATTTATTTTAAATTTATTTCTTTAAATGAGACATTTCTAACATTTCAATTTTTTCATTTTGTAGAAGCTGGTTCTTAAGTTATTTGAACGTGTGGAAAATTTGATATGAAGAGTTCTATTCTTTAAATAAATAATTCTTTTAACGAAATTTTTCTAACATTTCATTTTTTCATTTTTGTAAATGATCAATTCTTTAAGGTACTTGGATGCATGAAAAATTCTGCGAGGAGATTTTTATTTTTATTTTTTTAACAAACGATCAATAATATTTCATTTATTTTATTTTGTAGATGATCAGTTCCTTGGAATACTTGGATATATGGAAAAGTCAGTGAGGGAATTGTTATAAATAACTCTTTCAAACGAAATAATTCTAACGTTTTACTTTTTCCTTCTTTTTGTAGATGACCAGTCTTCTGGTATCTGAACGCGTAAGAATTCAGTAAGGAGAACTGAGGGGATTTTTTTTCTTACTTTAAATCAAATAATGAAATGTTTACTAATGGGTTGCTTTTTTTTAGGTTTGTTTTGTAGTAACTTGTAAGAACTTCGGCTTCAGCTTAAAAATAAAAAAAGTTAATATTGGCCATATTTCACATGTTTCATGTGATTAAAAATTAATAAATATGATGATCAACTTTTTTTTAACTTTTACCACTGTACCTTTAATTTCAAATCCTTTATCATTTTATCCTATTTCATTTTCTTTTCTCTTATCCTTTCCTTTGTCCTTTCTTTCCCTCTTCCTGTCCTTTTTTCCTGTACTTTCCATTTAAATATTCTTTATATTTAAGTGGTTCTCTCAATCTTCCTGATGCTACATTTCAGTAAGTTCATATTTTTTTTTTCTTCAATTGTTTTTATTGAATAGTTTCTTAGTTCTTTTTTTCTTTTTTTTTAGACAACTAGGTATGCAGTCTTTGGTCTTTGGGCTAGTTCATAGGATTTCGGTAGGAATTTTATTTTTCTTTTAAATTATTCTTTTAACGAAACATTTACTAACATTTCGATTTTTACTTTTTTTAGGTAGATTTCTTTAGGACTTGATATTTTCCCTACAAGCTTTTTCTTTCTTAACAAAGGTTTAGCAATTAAACATGTGTTTAAAAATTTAGAGTATGTTAAAAATATTGATAACAAGATATTATTTTGCGGTTTTGTATGTATTTTTATTGAAATTATAAGAAAAAAATAATATTCCATTTTTTTTTTAGTACTGAATTATTCTTATTGAAACATAATACTGACATTTCGATTTCCTTTTTTTAGATGGCTTAATTCTTGGACATGTGGAAATTTGGTAGAAAATGGTTATTTTTTAATTATTTTTTTAATAAAACGATTGCTAACATTTTGTTTTTTCTCTTTTTTAGATGGCTTTTTCTTTGGGTATCTTTGGAGATGCAAATTACGGTGTATTTAATTTTAATGAAATGCTAACCTATTAATGAGATAGATCTTTGGTTTTTTGAATGTTTAGATGCAGAATTTTGGTAAGATATTTTTTTTTACTAAGTTATTTACTTTAACAAACAAATACTAACTTTCTTTTTTCTTTTTTTAGAATTGGCTCCTTTAGATGCGAACTTTGTAAGTTATTTAACTTTTTTCTTCAAATTTTTTTTTTTAGCGAATAGTCACTAACATTCATCATCTTTCCTTTTCAGTTGGTTGGTTTGAACACATGAAAAATTTGGTGAAACTCTGTTCTAATTATGCATTTCAATGAAATATTTTACAACATTCCAATTTCCTTTTTTTTTTAGATAATCCAGGTCTCTAGATGTTTGGGGATTTGGGATTTGGGATTTGGGGTTAAAATCATAGGCTTTCCCACCAGCTGGCAAGGTGTATGAAATTTCTTTAATTCACAAAGAAAGCCTTGCTAAAGTCATCTTTAGCGTAGGTCTAGTAATACATTGCCTTAATTGAGCGTGGCTACGAGAGTTTATGATTCTTAAATTGCCTTATGCCTATTCATTACATACATATATATCTTATAATTAATTACACAATTTATTTTTATTATTTAAATTTACAATACATGTATAACAAATCGTTTTATAATAAATTTTCAACGATCTATTTACAATTTCCAATTTATAATTAATTTTACAATGGTTTGCCACTATATATTTTTGTAATCAATCTTACTACATATCTATAAATTAATATCAAAATTTGTAATAGAAGCATATTGTACGATGTCCCTACAAACCCAATAACAAGTATCTTATCATGGTTAGTACATGATGTATTGTGACAATAATTTTACAATACATTTAAAAAATTTTAGGTTGTTAGCAAAGAATATTGTCATTATTAATCTAATTAGTTTAATTGTACTTACCAGTATATATTTTTATGTAATCTGCAGGTGTATTAGGTATAGGATTTTCTCTAAGACCTCGTACAATTTCCATAGCCAAACCAACATCATGTGGGTCATTATGAAAAGGTGGCCGACCACTAGAAATTTCCCACAAGAGTATGCCGATACTGTAGATGTCACTCTTTTTATTTAATGAATATACTTGTATTTTATTATTACTATCCCTTTTTCTATTAAATGCTTGTGGATCAATATAAGCAATCCTTCCAAATAAATTTTGTTGAATATTGGATGATTCTTCAATCCTTTTTGACAAACCAAAATCTGCTAATTTAATGGTATTCTTATGAACTAATATATTATTTGAGTGCTATTATTAAATGCAATGACTAAATTAGTATAAAATTATACAGTATAATTTATTAACATGTAAATAACTGAAGTAAATAACCTACCAAATCACGATGAACAATACCTTCATCATATAAGCATGATATGGCATTAGCTAATTGAAATGCTAGATCCAATTTATTTTTCCAAGTGAGACTATCAAAATGTTCACTTAAATAATTTCGGAGAGTACCACTATCGGCATATTCCATAACCAGTAAATATTTTTTTGAATTATCATCTTGGTTTGCTTTGAGAAAAAAAAGAAAAATTATTTTGATTATTTTTTCCAAAAAAAAAAATATAATAACGATTCAAATTATATATTATACCTGTTGTAATGCCACAAAAACGAAGAATGTTTTCATGAAAATCTACTTCGCGCTGAAGATTAAGCTTAATATTGAAAATAAAATTTTATGTTAAAAACATAATATATAACTAAAGATATAAATACAAAAAAAAAAAGATAAACTGTTAACATATAATTGTTATAATTACTTCATTAACAATTTCTTTAACTGTAATGTTATTGAAATTAAAGAAAGATTTTAATGCTNCACTTAAATAATTTCGGAGAGTACCACTATCGGCATATTCCATAACCAGTAAATATTTTTTTGAATTATCATCTTGGTTTGCTTTGAGAAAAAAAGAAAAATTATTTAGATTATTTTTTCCAAAAAAAAAAGATAATAACGATTCAAATTATATATCATACCTGTTGTAATACCACAAAAACGAATAATGTTTTCATGAAAATCTACTTCGCGCTGAAGATTAAGCTTAATATTGAAAATAAAATTTTAAGTTAAGAACGTAATATATAATTAAAGATAGAAATACAAAAAAAAAAGATAAAATTTTAACATATAATTATTATAATTACTTCATTAACGATTTCTTTAACTGTAATGTTATTGAAATTAAAGAAAGATTTTAATGCTAAATGATTACGCAAACTTTTCCAGTTAGCACGATATACTTTTCCAAAACCTCCAGAACCAATTTCTTTGAATATTATTAAAATGTTTGTAATCGTAATATTTAATGTGCTTTTTTGCAATAGCTTCTTCAATCCAATCAATCCACTCATTTGAATTAAATTCAGTACTATTAGACATGATTGATACAAAACGTTGATTCAGTTTGTACTTAAAGTTTAATAATAAAAAGAAAATTATAAAAAAATGAATTTTTAAGGTAAAAAGTTATGAACTTAAAATTTAATATGATTTTAAGTTCATAGTAACGACGTAACGTAGTGCAGAATGTGTGTTAGCAGTTAGCACGCCGAAATGTGTGAAATGTGTGACAGGTTACGCCAATAATGTGGCGCAACAGTCAATCACCTACCTGACTGTACTACCATGGACAAACAAAAAATTTTGTGTGATCTGCCCATGACAGTACGATCAGTACGTGCAGTCGTGCACTGTCATATTGCATCATGCAGAGATCACGTGTACCTACTAAAATTCTTTAGTATAAATATCTTTTCGAAAATAAATATTGCGTAATATTAATATATTGTGTAAGTGTTTAAAGAAAAATTTACTGCACCATTAAATTTCTCATCATTAAATATTTTTTTAAATAAAATAGTCGCATAATTATGTTTTAATGATTTTTTTATTTATTGAGCGAGATGAAAATGAAGATAAAAAGTTCATTATAATAAAGATATATTCCTTATGAAACTAGGGAGCGCAAACCGTTCAGGTCCGAAGCATAATCAATTTATTTACATCACGTAACATGTACATAAAAACGTAAACTAAATACAAAATCTAATTTGTCGATAAGCATTCGGGACAGAACGACATTGCATCTGAAATGCTTGTAAGTAAATGGTCCTACGCTACGCTTCAGACAAAAATTTCAGGAAGAAAAAATCCAATTAATGCAATAAATTATCATTTTTTTAGTTTTTGTTAATTCTGCCATCAAACATGTAATCACTAGAAAAAAGCAACAGAATTAAAATATTAAGCAAAAAATGGATTTGACTCATTACCAAATTTTTGCAAGATGTACATACAGCATGCAATGATTATTTAATCCGCAATAACAAACTTACAAATCCCTCTCCGGAATGGCCTCCCATAGTATCATGTCTTTCCCTAAATAGATTTTTTTAGAAATATTTTTAATAAAAAAAAAAACATCAGGATAATGACGAACATCTCCTTGTCACTTTCTCAACTTACCAAAATTTAAATTTTCACAGCGGGTCAATGGCCAACAATAATGAATCTCGGTCAACTCTCATGGGTTTTGACTGGATTATTGAACATTCGTCGATCCCAACTCTCACCTTTAACGCTTCCTCCAGATATTTCCCCTTATCTACTAAAGCAGAGACTTTAGCGATATGCACTGCGCTAGCAAATTGTCCAAAACACAGTACGATCGAAATTTCACCATTTCACAATGCTGTATTAGTCAGTTTAATTCCTTCAGCTCCCCACAAATGTCTCCAAGACGATATTTAAAAATTATTGTTTAAAAGATTATTTTTATATTGTTAAATCTCTACAGTTACCTTACACAAGTCAAAGCACACTCCAGAATCCGTCTAAATGAAGCGGTCGATGAGCAAGCCAAATTGGGCCTATTATATATCTTGAGACGCTCTAATTATTAATGCAAGGAACACCTCGATTATTACTACCAATATCATTTGGAACAATTCAATTTCTTTCGATCGCGATATACGCAAAACTCAATAAATTCATACAACACTCAAACCTTGATTTATTAAGCATGCTCATGAAAAAGATGACATCAACTAAGACCAAGGAGTGGATAAATTATAATCCCGTCTCGCGTCCTACCTTTCAAAAATTATCCAAATTAATCAGTTACCAAACCAAATCACTTATCGAAACTCTGCCTACGGATGACAATTTTACGAAAAAATTATCCAGCTCTCATCACAGAACATATTTATAACCCGCATTGTCAAATCTAAATATGGTCATTAATGATCTCTTACTACGTCACATTAGTGACAATCACATAAACATTTTTTGATTTCTATTCTACCTGACAAATTAATACTTCTGATTAAACATTCCGCTATACGTAATCCCGTCTTCAGTTGGTTGCGTACTAATATCCTCCAATCAATGAATGTCACCCGATCTATTTATTATGTCACAACCTCATCCCGGAACCTCGTTAGGATTTTTATATTGCCCTTTTTATTCAAGAAAGTTGGAAACTTTACTGTCAATGGAGTTGAACATCACCTTTCAAAACGGATTTCATAAATTATTCTAAACTTTACAAATACTAGACATTCGCATCAATCACGTGAATCACAACGCAACAAATTTTATTGATTATTCTCCGGAATCACCCACCAAATCCTCTTGCGCATCAGTTTTGGATCCGGTGGACATCAAATAGCTTTCTTCACAGTGGTCCGTGATTCCATTTCTTATCTGTTAATTTTCTTTCTTCATAATTCCTTGTTTATCATTTGTAAATAGATTTATAACAACGTCATAGCCCCGCTTTTCTATCTACGAAGGATGAGTCAACCTTAGGGTGGATGATAGTATAAAAAAATAATTTTTTATATCCATAGTTTAGATCTTTCCTTTTCCATTTTGGATTTTGGATATGTACTTTTATATCCTCTGTTACTACAATTGTCGTTTTAAAGTAAAAGAAGTTTTTTTTTTTAGCATAAAAAAATATTCTCATTGTAAAATATAGGTAACAATTTTTCTATATGTTTTTTGCGTTTTTACATATAAAATTATTCTGTCTATCACTTTATAGATTAACATTTTTTTTGCATTTTAAAGATAAAATATTTCTGATTATATCGCTGAAAATTCGCAGATTTTCATGCAACTTGAAAATCAACAATTTTATGTACCATGTAAAATTTATAAAATCCGAATACTTTTTGTAGGGTAGTGTATATATTAAGACAAAATATTACATTATACATAATTATTCATTTATAATAAGTATGGAAAAACATTTGGAATCACTTGAAGAATTAATTTAAATATTTCAGATTGAAAAATTTTGAGAAAATTGTTTCAGGAGAGTTCTTATAAAAATGTAGGAGTATGATAAAATTTACCACGCTGATCTAATTTCCACATTTGAGGTTATACCAGGCAACCGCTTTTCTTTGTCCGATAACTATTGCCTGACATAAATGTCATGTCACGTTTCTAAATGGTCTTTTTACCCACATGATATATATATCCTGACAGACATTTTCTTGGCAACATTTGTCAAAAATGATTTAAAAAGTGATTTACCAAAAAAAAATAATAAAATTAATGAAAAAATTTTTTTTTAATTATTAACTATATTTAAACATTATCTGTTGTTAAAGTACCGAAAGACGAACTTTATCTCCAAGGACAAGAAGATGTATGCATCTAATAATTAAATCAGCAACAGTGAGTATATAAAGATGCGCAATTCTTGTATTTTATTAATAAAAAAAAATTACATATTTTATTTATAAATGGTTTGTTTTTTTATTCTCAAATATTTTCTAAATTGCATAATTGCAAATGTTTATAATATTCAATATGATTAAATGAAGAAAGGTTCTTATAATTCATGGGTAGATTGAGATTATCTCTTATTTCATCTGATAAATCTGTATAATAGTGATGATTTCTTTTTCTTATTTAAATATTTCAGAGATTCTTCAATAAAATAGTTGAGATCTCTTATTAGTTTTGTGTTTTTTTTAAAATTTCTTTTTTGTTTACGAATTTGATTATCTTTTTTTTTTTGAAAATTATTGCTATAAATGTACATGGAAGATTTATATAATAGTTAATATGCAGGCATCCAAAATTATGCTTAAATTACTTCATATAAAGAAACTAAATAAGCTATCAACTCCTATAAAATTTAGATATTGAATCTAAATGACGTAATTCATCAGAGATATTTTTGCAATAGTAATTAGTAATTTATTTGTACCTTAGTCTAAAAATATCATGATGCCTAAAATTGCATGATCCTATCCCTATTTGGCTGTATCATTTATAGTGCATCAATATTCCTTATATAAGTTGCGGTTTTGTAAATCACTGGTAAATCATTTTCGGGCAAATATACTGGAGATAATATATCAGGAAAAATGACATGCCGATAAAAAGTCTATTCGGAAATATGTTATTACCGAGAATATTTGTCGGGCAAAGGATGTGACAAGAAAATGATTGTCGAGATATCGATCGCATTCGAACGCTTTTATTAACTTTAAAAGGGTTGTTAACCGTAGCATGTATAACTTACTATACCGTTTAATTCAAGCATAAGTTTGAGTTACCTATCCTAATACATTAATAGGTAGGTAAAAAACTTATTTACAAAGAAAAAAAAATAAAGAAAAATCTAAAAAGAGAATTTATGATTTATTTAGAAAAGAAGATTTAGATCATGAAATAATTTGTTATTTAAATGTTAATATTTCCATCTTATTATTCATACAATACAATTGCCCGATCCCTTAAAAATGATTTGTAATCAATTACTTAATCACACTATAAATTCAAAAACGATGATGACATAAAAACATACTAATCCGATTATATAATACTCTCCTTTTTTTTAAAAAAAAAAAAAAGTGATTTCAAACGTTAATTTTCAAAACGGCTGTCGATCCGGGTTAAAGGAAAAAAAAAAAATTAATTAAGTTAAAATTTGTCAAATCAAGTTTAAACAAATTGTATTAATTTTCCAAATTCTACATATTCTAAATTTTTTTTTAGAAATTTAATAACTCACAAAATTCACATAAAAAGATATGATTTTAGAGTCTTTGTATAATGAATTTCTTTATCATATACGCCATAGTACTTAAAACGGGTTTTTTCAAATTCAATCAACAGTTAATGAACAATTTTTGATTCTTCTGATATATGTTACACAAAGTGGAACTTTCATCTAATTGCCTATTTGAGTTTTTATAGTTTTCATAGATTACCAAGAAAGCCTTGTGCTGAAGTCATTTTCATGAAAATCTTTTTCATGAAATTCTATAACATGGAATTCATTTCACGTACTCACGTACCGTATTTTTGATTTTTTTTTTTTCAAATTAACCATATTTCATTATGTCTGATAACAATTTTCAAAGTGCAAATGAATGGATTAATTGGATTGAAAATGCTATCTCTAGTACAAATATTAAGTATTATGATTTTAAAGATTTTAGTAACATAAAAGAAATTGGAGTTGGAGCATTTGGAAAAGTATTCCGTGCCAATAGGAAAACGTCGGAACAATATTTCGCGTTAAAATGTTTTTTTAATCTTAACAATGCTACCGTAAATAGAGTCATTCGCGAAGTAAAATATTTTATAGTAATATGTTTATTCTATAATTTTATTTCTTATTTATTATACTTACTCTGAAATTTTAAATTTATATTCGTAAATTCAGATTGAACATCATCGAGAAGTGGACTTTCATGAAAATATTATTCGCTTCTATGGAATTACAAAAAATAATATTGGTAAGATAATATCAATTGAAAATTAAATTAATTAAATTATTTGATTTTTGTATAAAAAAGTTAATATGCACATTTTTTTTTTTCGTTAGAAAATGTAATTGACCAATCAAGAAATTATTTGTTAGTAATGGAGTACGCTGATGGCGGTACTCTTCGAGAGTATTTGATGAATAATTCCGACATTCTTACTTGGAAGGATAAATATAATTTGGCATATCAACTTGCTCATGCTGTATCGTGTTTACATGAAGAAAACATTTTGCATCGTGACTTGGTAAATGTAAAATAAAAATAAATTTAACTCGATTCATTAATAAAATTTTAACTGATTATATGTATTGTAGAATTCTTATAATATATTAGTTCATCAGAAATCTATCAAATTGGCTGATTTTGGCTTATCAAAAGGAATTCATGAAGTATCAATAATTTCAACAAAATTATATGGTGTTATCCCTTATATTGATCCAAAAAAATTCAGTATTCAATCATACTCTTTAAATAAAGAAAGTGATGTCTACAGCGTTGGAATTCTTTTATGGGAGATCTCGAGCGGTAAACCACCTTTTGAAGAACCTGACGACAGCTTAGCCGTTCATATTTTACAAGGTCTTAGAGAAAAAGTCAACCCCGATACTTCGATTGATTACGTACACCTTTATATTGGTAAATATAAAAAAAATATAATTACGTTTAAATTTTGTTCGTATAAATATAAATAAAATCTTAAATTTTTAGAGTGTTGGAGTGGGGATCCAGACAAACGACCATCTATGCACGAAGTTGTTAAAAGATTAAAGACGATCATCGATAAACAAAGCGAAAATGATTTACCTTTTCAAATATCGAAATTGAATATTTGTGCTGAAAAATCTTTACATGGGGAATCATCTCTACAAATTAATAATATACCAGCAACAACAATTTCTTCTGTTACCGAAAGGGATTTATTTAAAATAATGATTAATGATATGGTAATAAAAATTGATGAAATAACCGGAAAAAAAAATGTAGAAAATTGTCAACTATTTTGTTTTCATAATTATATTAGTAATTATGATGTCAATACAAAAATTATTCTTGATCGATTATCAAATAATCAAAATGATCCAAATTCCATTTTTTTACTTGGATATTTCAATTATTTAGGAGTTGAAACAAAAAAAAATTATGAAAAAGCGTTTAATTTGTTTATTAATGCGGCAAATAAGGATCATCTATTAGCGAAATATTACGTCGGAAAATGTTACGAATCTGGTATTGGAACTACAAAAAATGAAGACTTAGCTTTTCAATACTTTGAAAATTTTATTAATAAAACTTATTCAACAGGACAATTGAAAGTTGGTCAATATCACGATATAGATATTAAAATAGGTTTAACATTAAACATTTGCTGGTATGAACGCGCCGTGAATAATGGAAGTGAGATTGCCATGTGTAATCTTGGCCTTTTATATTTAAATAAATATAGTGACGATAAAGATTATCTAAAAAAAGCTTTTGAATTATTTAAAAAATCAGCTGAAGGAAATCATCGGGATGGTATTGTAATGTTAGGTTATTGTTATTATTATGGAATTGGAACTGAACCTAATTTACAAAAGGCATTTAATTTGTACCAAGATTCAGAAAAATTAGGTCATAATATAGCTAAATATAATCTTGCTTTTATGTATGAAAGAGGAAAGGGGGTAAAAAAGGATGTAAATCAAGCAATTAAATTGTATGGAAATTTGGCTAAACAAGGAAATCGAGACGCTCAAAATCAATTAGATAAGCTTAATGAAAAAGTAAATTATCCATGTAGTATATTTTAATTAATTTACTATACTGTATATCCAATTTTTATAGGATATTTTAATACTCGTTTTATTTTTATTTATTTTATTTGTTTGTTTATTTATTTTATTTAAAATTATATTATTACTTTTTTTCTTTTAAAAAATAAAGTGAAATTCTTCTTAAAATCACGTGATCATCTAGCTAAGTCGCGAAAAAAAAAAATTTGATATGTATAGAAATTTATAATATAAAAATTCCTAAAAAACTGTGTTCCGCCATATATTTTTTGTTTTTTTTGACATAACAGGAAATATACGAGCATGTTACGACAACAGGACAATATCATAGAAGTTTACTATCAAAAAGGGTAATGTTTATGCGTTTACAATGAGGGTTTCAAATTTGTTTGGATGTGCGTTAATAGTTAAATTATCAATACAATTTTTATTACTATCTCACCTTGGCGCTTTGTAATAAATCCCAAAAAAAAAAAATTCTCAAATTTTTTTCAAAAGAAAATTTTGCTACCACTCAACTTTTCTACAGATGTTGAATCGATAAGTGTTGAAATTACGGCGCGAACTTCCGCGAAATTAAAAATATCAAGTGTCTGCCAATTACTTAGTTGCATCATTTTTTTAAACAATCAAAATATCTTCACGACGACACCTTCTCAAAAAAAAAAATGTTGCTAAAACCCAAAAGAAAGTTGAAAGACTCAAAAAACTTTCTTAGAAAACTATCCAAAGAACAAAAAATTCCAATGGACAAATTGATCATGGGCCAACTTGTTACTATCGGTAGGTGTAAAATATATAGTTAAAAAAAATTTGTGTGACGTTTTGAGTAGTCATATAAATAATTTGAATTGTGTAAACACGAAAACCCGTGCTGTAATGTGAAACCCGTGACATGCCTGCGCCCGAGGTCATGTGTACGTTCTAACGCAAATTAGTACGTACGTGTGTTACAGCTAATCAATTTTTTAATACTAGTACGTACGAAAGTTTTAAAATTTTCGTATTAATTTGAGTTTTCGTACAATCGTACGACTTTGCATTTTTGTATTTTTGTGCAACTTCGAATATTGTTTTCAACAAAATATCTTACTAATTATAAAATTAAATGTTAAATTATAAAATTAAAAAAATTCTTTGAAGATAAGCTAATAAATTTTCATTCCTTTAACATATTCAGCTCCACAATAATAAAACTGACCATTAAAATAATAACTAAATTTTATTGGTTTATTTATTAATTTTTTCAATTCATTATCATATTTTATTTGTTCAAATTCAGGATTTAATGGCTCAAATGGATAATCTTTAACATCGGATGATGGACATCCGACCATCCGACCATCCGTACATCCGTCCCAAATCATATTTTACTTGGCGTATAATATAACGAACTTTATTTTTTCAATCGGAAATTTATTAAGTATCTTTTTTTGATTATTATAACTGGGAAATTTATTTTATTAGGTGCCTTTTTTTTGATTCTCACAAACTGGAAATTTATTTATTTTTTTAAAATATCCCTCTCTTCTTCTGGTTCTTATAGATCAAAAATTTTTTCTTTTTTTTTCAAACCAAATAAAATTAATTTTAATTTGGTTTTTTTTAAATCAAAATATTTTTTTTTTAAATTTTTTTAAGTTGAATTTTTTTTCTTATTTTGAAATTATTTTTACTATTATTGTTTTTTTTATTTATTACTAACAATAAATAAAAATGAAAAAAAAAAATTTGGTTCAGATATTATTAAATAAATGACTATTCTTTGCATTCTTTTTATATTTAAGCTTGTTAAATGAGATTTTTTTGTAATTCACTCAAAATTCTTTACATAAATGATCAATTGACCAAATCTTTTTTTTTTAAAAAAAAATATGATATAAAAACATGAAATCTTTAGAAACATCATTTTATTAGAAAAACACTTAAATAATAAGAAATAAAATTTTGGTTTCACGAAAAAGATAGACAAAACATAAGCAGTGATCGACCAGGGAATTTAAGGGAAATTGGAAATATGGAAAAAGTAGAAAAGGATGTAACAAAAAAAAAAAAAAAGAATTATAGAATTCAAATTTTTCAAAATTTTCAAAAATTATTTATTAAATATTTTTAGCAAAATCCGAAACAACAAGATTAAAAAAAAATCAAGAAAGAGACAATAATAGTGATTGATATTTAAAATGTTGTTAAAGAAAATGGATCACGAAAAAGTGAAATGAAAGTAAAAAAAGAATGTTTGATATGTGAAATAATTTAATTTTTATATCTTTTATTTTATTTAATTTTTGAAGTATCAATTATCGTCGGAACATTAACAATAAACGATATGTATAATATTGCATCAATGACTAACGCAATATGTAATAATAATTTTATTCAAAGGTTAAATAGCAATAAAATTTGCCTATATATTATCTTATAGTTATTATCTTATATCTTTTATGGTTAAATATATCTTAAAAATTTATCCAGATAAATTATAAGTTTGGAGGAACTTTGTTTTTCATCTTTATTTAAAAAGCAGATTAATTATTTAAGGGTGAATTTATTCCTCACCCTATCCTGGGTGAGATTCGATACGATATTCCTCACCCCCAAGTCATAAATTGTCAAAAATGTCAAAAATGGTATTTATAACCTTTTTTAATACATTTGTAAATAAATATCATTAATTTGCAAACTAATTATTGATATTAACCGTAATAATTGAAGCACATTATTAACATAATAAAGAATATAATTGAATATAATTGCAAATTACAAACTGAACCAACAAGTGTGATTTAAAGTTTTTTTTCTTATTTGCAAAATGCTCCCGTTTTCTATTCTTAAGCATTTAGGTATTATGATATACAAACCTTAATTATTGAACTTTCTCAATATTGTTCATAATTTTAACTACCTGCCTATTCTTGTCGAAATCCAATTATTGTCATCGTGACAAGCTTTTAAGGAATTAAAGGTTGCACTGAATTAAATATGTAACCATAATAAGGGTGTAAGTTGATGTTATTCCCATTAAAGTTTATAGCTAAGGTTGCTTCAAAACTTTGTTTTTACTTTTTAAGAAACGTTACTACTTACTAGCATTTTTTGTTTTCTCTTTTGTAGGTTCTGGCTAATTTTGGAACGTTATAATCACTTTATGTTTGCCCAAGAATTTCGTTAATTCATCAAGAATAGCGGCGGACAATCGCATTGGAGATTATTTTACTCTATGCAGACTTTAAGATGATGACGTCTCATATTGATCAATCCCCTCATACCTACATAGTATACAACTCTAAAGTACTCTTCAAGCGTTTTGTGAAAAGTACTGTATTAAAAATAGATCAATTTACGTTGTAAAGTGGAAACATTATTTGTTTGGAGAATTAGTGCTTTTCCATAGCGGACACTTTTTTTATCTTCTTTTGGTATATTGAGCATACATATAAGGCGTCTTTATAATCTTTAGCCGAAAATCAAAAGTGGACAAGTGATATGGCAGTAATACTGTATATAGCGTTAAAATGTATTTTCATTCCATGATAAAAAAGGTTCTTTGCATATGATATGAAAAATTCCGTTAGGAATACTTAAGATGCCATTCCACTTGCATGAATTTTACTCCTGCAACTTTAGGTATTATTAAAAAATTTGTATCTTAGTTCAAAAATAACTAAAAAAAAAGAAATTAAAAAATTTCATTTTATATTTTATATAATTTTCGTAAGTAATGTTTTAATAGCTTATTTATTACAGAAACTAGTATAAAAAAAAGTTGTAACTAAAACCAAGAGATTCCAAGTTATTCATCCAAACAAATCTTCATCGTAATGTGTGAGAAAACGGTGTATACATGTGTGATTTGTGTTTACTTGTGTACATGTTGTGGCGAATAATCAAGATGATACCAAGTGCTTCAAAGGCGAGGCCGTTCCAAAAAAATCTGAGTGGAGGAAAATTAAAGAAATGATGGCATATTTACTATCATTCCACACCAGCTACTAAAAGTAAAGTGATAACCGGCACGATAAACTGAACGAAAAAAAAGATATAAAAAACTTTTCTAAATATCTTGGTGAATGTTTACTGCTGATGATATTGATCTCTGGGTACATTATAATTATTATTTCCCTCAATAAATAATATTTATCGTTCGAAATTGAGTACACTTGAATGAATTTGCTAAATTACCGCACCTCAGCAACTGCCCATGACCAATTAATTAGTTGTACAATGTCGAGTCAATTTCAAGATACAATGGGACCGTTATTCCTGAAGAATGAGTCAATATGTTTAATTAATAATATCAAGTTTTGAAATTATGTAAATTAAATATTGACCTTCTGATATCTATCCCCCAATAAAAATAAATACATTTAAAGAACTTGCAAAAGCTCTTAAAACCCATTCTGCTTTAAAATATTGCAAGTATATATTATATCAAATGAGTTTCCAATGAAGATGATGCCACTAAATTTCTTGCCAACTTTCATTTGCCTTGTCTTAAAGCGATAATTACTAATCTACAAGAAATTAAAAATTGTCTTTTGGAAACATATTCTTTAAACATGAATTTCCAAAGAAAATACCCGGCATCACATCAATAAATACAGTGAGGTCATTTTAGATAGTTCAAAGGTAGTCATACATGTAAATTTAATATAAAATTAAAATCTCGTAAACTGGTAACTTTTTTAATTTAGGAGTAGGTGTTAATATTATAATGTATATCTTTTTATCAAATAATTTTATTCATTGATTTTTTTTATTCATATGACATACAAAAAATTTTTTATTATGGAAAGAATTAATAAAATTATGTGAGAACGCACTTTTTAATAATATAGAATGATTTAAAAAAAAGTTGATCTCAATCCGCAGCACTTATTTTTTCTATAATTATGACTCACTATTAAATATACGTATATTGTTATGTAATAAAGTATTATGGCAATAAAGTTATCTATTGTTTTTTATTAGGTCTAAAAAAAAGCCAAAATGACGTTATCTTTCCATAAAAAAAAATTACTAATATTGTCAAACAATTGTATTATGCAAAATATTATTGTAATAAATCTTACTGATGCTACTGATGCCAGTTGATATTAAGCTATCAGATAATCAGAACTTTGCTTTTAAAATAAGTTCAAAATACAAGAGAATATTATTTCATTTTCCAGCAAAAAACACGCTGACATATACAAGTTTAAGAATATATCTTTATTAATATATATAAAAAAAAGAGGCTGGCCAATAGTATCTTGCGTAATAATATAATACAATTTTGAAGTCTATTTTTATTGATCATCATGCAAGTATAAAATTATAAGCTCTGACAACAAAATGATTTTATGATAATAGCCTTACAAAAAAAGAATGTTTGGAATTTGTCACCAAAACTGTTCAGAAATTGTCCAGTATACCTACCTATAAAATGTCTGGAAAATGTCCGGAATTATGAAAAAATATGGTGTCCAGAATTTTTTGAAGTCCATAATTTGTCCAAACATGAAAAATTCAGGACAAATTTCGGATAGACAAAACTGGACAAAAAAAAACTGGACAAATTCTGGTAGTTAGACAAGAAAAAATTCCAGGCAAATTCTGGACAAAAAATGTAAAAAGCAAAAAATTGGTATTCAAAACCTTTGTGTGTATACTAAGTAAACTTAAAGAGCAAGCAAAAATACTATCCATGATGTTAATTTGAACTGCTATAAACAGTTATCAGTTAGGTATTTGTATAAGGAATATATCATTGATATCTATGGAAAGCCGTCCTTGACAAAAGGTTGATGTCCAAACATCATGAAATATAATATTTAGACATCATGATGGTATGTCTAAACATAATGTTTGATATATGTAGGATGATGTTTGTACATTATTTAACATGATGTGAAAGACATCAACCGACATGATGTCTAGACATCATGCTGATCAAATTACCAAATATAGTATATTTATGAGTTACACAAAATAAAATTTACTATATTTGGTAACATGATGTCTAAGACATCATGCTTGAACATCATGTTGAATGATGTACAAACATTATTCTACATATATCAAACATGATGTCTAGACCATTATCCAACATGATGTCTGGATATCAACCTTTTGTCAAGGACGGCTTTCCATAGATATCATGACTTGCTGATCATTTCAGAGAAAATTTTTTTTCCGGACAAATTCCAAATCTGGACAAATTTTGGACAAAAATCAATGTCCAGAAAATGTTCCAAATCTTGCACATTTTTGTATGTTTTCAGGACACTCATTTAGTCCAGAATTTGTACAATTATATTCTGGACAATTTCAGAATATTTTCCAAACACATTTTTTCATAGGGTAGTCAAAAATCAGTTAAACAAAGTTTATGGGAAAAAATGATGTAATATTGTAACCAAAACTCCCTAAAGAAGTATAACAAGATTATTAGTCACTATGTATCCAAAAGGGTTTTTTAAAAGTATATATATACCCTCAAAATCTCAAACTTCTTTTTTTTTTAAAAAAAAATACACCCTTCTTTCTTTCTAGTTTAAAAAATACACCCTTCTTTCAAATACACCTTCTCTTTCTTTTTTTTAAAATATACACTTCTTTTTCTTTAAAAATTACACACTTCTTTCCTTCTTTAAAAATACACATTATATTACATATTTTATTATTTTACTCTTAAAAAATTATTTTTAAGTGAGACTTCCTAACAGTACAGTCTGAAACTTTGGAAGTTTAGCGTTACTGAAGTTGAAAATAAATAAAATAATTTTATTTATTAAGGTAAGCTTGCGCTTCCTGCTTGCATAGTTTTAAGGATACTGGTTTATGGATAAAAAAAGCTGAGGAGTAAGATATAAAAGAAACTGGCTTTCCCTGAGGAGAGTTAGTCTATGTATCTGGCTCTTATGGTTGGTGTCATGATTTCAGTGGTTTGCCATAGGATTATACAGTATATTGTACTAGTTCTAGGGTGAACCACTGGAGCATGATATTAACACTTTTCTGGAGCTTTTTTTTATGGAGTATGGTGCAAATCATACTAATGTTTTTTTTATCTTGCTTAGATTACTTTAGGTTTACTACAGCATGATAATATACACAGTACTTCAAAATCTGATGTCTCAAATCTTCAATTCCTCTGGCTCATACCAAGATAGGCGTTCCACTAATTTTTTAATTTAACAGCTGAATAATTCGAAGAGTATCAAAAATTTTGCTAATAAACAAAAAGCTCAGCATGTCTTCATATGGAATAAATCAATGACTTTTAATATAAGATAACATACTTTTATGAGAACTGGAAAGAACTCCAAATGCAATAGAAAAATAATAAGGAATATAATGAATATAATTGGATTATGGGTCATCATGAAATTGGTAATTATTCTATTATGAGCCTCAAATATTGTGCTGTAGTCAAACAAAAATCTCAAAAAATTGCCTATAATCAAATAAAATTCATATTTTATCAAAACTTTATTTTCTATTCTTTTTGCTGTGCTCCTTGGTTTTTACTAATAATTTTTTGATAATGATTGTTTCATTAATTTGCAATTTCTTGTATTACTTTTTTAGAATAAAAGTGATTTTAATATATGCACAAACTGCACGGTAATCATGATATAGTTGATCAATAACTTTTTCATTTGTTTCTAAAAAATTTTAAGAATTTTATATTTGCTATCATAACAACTATTTTACTCAAACTAAGCGCTCTTGTTAATTTCAAATACATAGCATCAATCGCATTAATATACTGTACAATTTATTTCTACAGTACATTCAAATGGGAGCATTCTCAGTCAAATGGTTGGTAAACAATATGAAAAAATACATTTTTAAGGTAACACAATTTTTTATCTGACTGTCCTTTTATTATAGTATGTTAATTACATTTTTTAAAAATTGTAATAATTTTTATTTTCTATTCTTATAATCTACATGAATTAATGTTAAAATTTTTTAAATTTATTGCATTACAAAGGTATTATTTAATGATAGAATTGCCATTTTACAAATAATAAATAAATAAAATAAGATAAAATAAAATAAACAAATAAAATAAATATCAATTTTATAAATTTCAAGATCCAAATTATAATGCATAATGCTAGCACAACTTTAATCCACACAATATAGCCATTACTGCAATTTTATCAAAAATAATAAACAAATCAAATACAAAAAGACTTTCAACAAGATTCTTTTAATTTATTTAACTTATCTTGAGCACCCAAATTTCCTTGTTTAGCAGATTTTTTATACCAATAATTAGCTTGATTTATATCCTTTTTAACTCCCTTTCCATATTCATATATTAAAGCAAGATTATATTGAGCTAAATCATTTCCTAAATTTGCTGCTTTTTGATATAGTTCAAATGCCTTTTGTTCATCAATACTAGTTCCAATACCATTTTTGTAACACCTTCCTAAGTTGTGTATTCCAATTGCATTTCCCAAATTTGCAGCTTTTTGAAATAGTTCAAAGGCCTTTTGTTTATTAATACTAGTTCCAATACCATTTTTATAACACCTTCCTAAGTTGTTTACTCCATACGCAACTCCTAAATTTGCAGCTTTTTGAAATAGTTCAAAGGCCTTTTGTTTATTAATACTAGTTCCAATACCATTTTTATAACACCTTCCTAAGAAGTTCATTCCATACACATCTCCTAAATTTGCGGCTTTTTGAAATAGTTCAAAGGCCTTTTGTTTATTAATACTAGTTCCAATACCACTATCATAACACCTTCCTAAATGGATCATTCCACTTGTATTTTCCAAATTTGCTACTTTTTGAAATAGTTCAAAGGCCTTTTGTTTATCAATACTAGTTCCAATACCAAATTCATAACAAATTCCAAAATAACATGTTCCATACGCATCTCCTAAATTTGCTGCTTTTTGATATAATTCAAATGCCTTCTGTTTGTCAATACCAATTCCAATACCATATTCATAACACCTTGCTAAATTTCTTAATCCGCATGAATTACCTAAATTTGCAGCCTCTTGATATAATTCAAATGCCTTCTGTTCATTAACACTAGTTCCAATTCTATTATTATAACAAGATCCTAAGTAGTTTATTCCACGTGAATTTCCTAAATTTGCAGCCTTTTGGTATAATTCAAATGCTTTTTGTTTATTAACACTGGTTCCAATTCCCTTTTCATAACAATACCCTAAACTAGTTATTCCAAATACATTTCCTGAATTTGCTGCATTCCGATATAGCTCAAATGCCATTTGTTTGTCAACATTAATTTCAATTCCAATTTGATTAAATATTCCAAGTAAAAAGACAGAATTCGAATTATTTTGATTATTTAATAACATATTATAAATTTTTTGTAAAGTTATATTATGATTATTAAGATAATTAATAATTTCATTTTTCCTCCCTTCTATTTCTATGTTTTCGAGAAAGAGAATTATTTCACTAACCATTATGTCAAAGTTATCCGATGACATTGAAATTTCTATTTCTTCTGTATTCATATTATAAAAATTTTTAATAACTTGAGACATTTCTCCATGTAATGAATTATCAATAATGTTTTCAGAAATTTCAGCAATATTCTGTTGCTCGCTTGATACTTTAATATTTTCTTTTAGAATAATTTCATTTAATTTCTCAACCACCTGGTTGGCAGTTGGACGATTATCTGGTTCATTATTCCAACAATCTAAAATATTTAAACTTTTAATTAATCAATATTATAATTATAGATCATGACTAAATTTAATTCTCTTACCAGTATATATTTTTATATAGTCTCCAGGTGTATTAGAAATAGGTTTCTCCCTCAGACCCTGTAATATTTCCATAGCCAAAGTAACGTCATATGGTTCATTACTAAAAGGTGGTTGACCACTAGATATTTCCCATAAGATTATACCAATACTATAAATATCACTCTTTTTATTTAATGTATATATTTGTTTGCCGTCCCTTTTTCTATTAAATATTTGTGGATCAATGTAAGCAACCATTCCAAATAATTTTGATTGAACATTGAATGATTCTTCGATTCTCTTGGATAATCCAAAATCTGCCAATTTGATAGTATTTTGGTAAACTAATATATTATTGGAATGCTATTATAAAGTAATAAATAAAATAAATGATTGTATATAATTCCATAAATAAATATAACTAAGCAAATTGAATAACCTACCAAATCACGATGTACAATCTCTTCGTCATGTAGGCATGTTACAACATGAGCTAACTGAAATGCCAGACTTAATTTATCATTCCAAGTAAGATTTTCAAAATTTTCACTTAAATAATTTCGAAGGGTACCATTATTAGCATATTCCATCACCAGTAAATATTTTTTAGAATTATCATTTTGATTTTCTTTTGAGAGAAAAATATTATTTTAGATTTTTCATTCTTATTAAAATAATACTTTGAAATATTTCTAATACCTGTTGTAACACCATAAAACCGAATAATATTCTCATGAAAATCCATTTCACGTTGAAGTTTAAACTAAAATAAATAAAATTTTAAAAATCATGAACGTAATATATATAAGATTAAAGATAAAATATTTATATATTATAATAATTACTTCATTAACAATTTCTTTAATTGTGACGCTATTGTAATTATAAAAAGATTTCAATACTAAATAATTACGAAAATTTTTCCAATTTGCGCGATATACTTTTCCGCAACTTCCGAAACCAACTTCTTGGATATTATTGAAATGTTTATAATCGTAATATTTAAAATAATTTTTTGCAACAGCCTCTTCAATCCAATTAATCCATTCATTTGAATTACTAGTAACTTCAATTTCAGAAATATTAGACATTGTTAAAGTGCTTAAAGTGCAGAAAATTTTCTACAAGGAATTTTTTTTTTTGATTTTTGGCTTAATATATAAAATATACTAAGCTATGATCAATCAAGGTTAGCATCCACCTGTGTAACAGTGACGTTTAGATAAATAATTTTACACGTAACTCTTTATGGTTTGATCGGCAAATAACAGAGAATTAACAATAGTATTGTTAAAAAATTTTTTAGGGAGAATTTTTTTAATAAGGGAGTTTTTTTTTGGTAGCAAATTTATTAACAGGTTTTGATAGATAATTTCGTTAAAGATTTTTTTTAATAGGAGGGAAATTAAATTTTTTTGAGATTTTTTTTAATAGGTAAAAATCTTTTTTGAATTTTTTTTTTATTAATAGGGAAAATATGTTTTTTGATTGAAGATTTTCGTTAGAAAATTTTTTCTTTAAATAGGGAATATTTTTTTTTTTTTTTTTTGATTGAGAATTTCTTTAGAAAATTTTACTTTAATAGAGGAGTTTTTTTTTTTATGATAATTTTGTTTGTTGAAAAGTTTTTTATAGCGTACTAAACAGTGTCTTTTTTTTTTTAATGGAGAATTTCATTTAGAAGTGTTTTAATAGAAAATTTTATTGAAAATAATATTTTTTTCAATAAGGGTATTGAGTATTTTAGCTTGAATTTTTTTCTTTTTAATAAGGAATTAGAGTTCTTTTATAAAAAATTATTGGAAAGTTATAACTATTTAATTAAAATTGTAAAATTTAATTAATATGTACAGTATATATAATTTATATTATCCTAATATAATCATATTGTAAATATAATTTTCTATCGGAGTTCAGATATTCTTTGCCACAATTTCAAAATATCAAAAATATCTGAAATTAATTCTAAAATAGCTTTTTATAAGAGTGTAGTATTGTCGTATATATAATGCCAACAAACAATTGTGAATAAAATTTCGAACATAAATTTGCTAGATATCACGCAAATATTTGTTGATTGTCAACGAAACAAATCAATTTTTTCATTATTAGTTCATAGCAATTTCATATTAATATTTTCATTATAAATTTCATAACATATAACTAAATAATAGTGAAGCTTAATATTTGTAATGATATTTAAGTAAACATTCGTTATGGATAACGATGCCGAAGGTCTTGATTTCCAAACCGATGCTCCTCGAACCGTATTGCCTGTGATAAAGCTATAATTTACGATTGTTTAAAAAATTACAAAATAGCCGAGGTTCAACAATATCACTTGTGCATACTAACATTTGAGTCATTCTTTATAATTCTGTTATAATGGTGACCTCTAGCTTTTATATTTAATTTTATTCCCATATATATCAATATCAGCTCCTATTCCATTGGAATAATAATGTTCTAATAAATTTATTCCACCTGAATATCCATCTTCAGCTAATTTTTTTTGGATAATTCAAAAGTTCTTCATAACCATTTTCTTCATCTAAATACATATAAGCAAGGCTAAATTGAGCTGTTTTATTATTATATAATTCGAATGCTTTTCTTTATTACAATTTCATGATGATTAAATATCCATTTATTTCTTTAAGACTGAAATTAACAAATTCATCAATTACAATACTTAAATACATTTCATGATGTTGCACCACGACATATTTATTTATAGTCAATATCTTTATTAATTTCACTATTTATAGCAACGCGTTATTGATCTGAAAGGAAAGATATTAAACTAATATGGCAAATTAAAAAAAATGATGGTTATTGATGACGAACCAATTATTTATTATTAAGCAGGCAGTCATTTGAAAATTTTGTATTAGTACTTTTAAGTTAGAAAATATAATCTTTATTACACTCCGAAGTAGATGATATATTCAAATTTAAATTCGAGATATTTTATTCTATTATGATGGTTAAAATATAAATCCATAATGTACAATATTCGTGCTATAAGTTTACCACCAATAAAGAAAATTTAATTTAAAATTGGTATTAAAAACACACGTTTGTAATACTGCTGTAAAAGCGAAACGATTGAATTTTATCATATTGTATAATAAATCGAAATAAAATTTTTTAAGACTAGTTAATAAGTTTTGACTTACCTTTTGTTACTTTTATTTCACTTGAATTAGCGGTCTCAAGTGACGTAACATCATGGACGTAACTTCATACAGTTTTGACGTACAGTATGACGTAATTAAAAAAATAATTAAATAATTTTAAAAAACATATAAAATATTAAATAAATTAGCATATTTATATATAATTAAAAATAATAGCAATTACTGCTTCTTTTAATTAACAGCATTATTTAACATTTTTCTATATGCAATTTTACTATTACTAGTATATAATCGAAGGATATAAAATCATAATGATAGCATGTAAACAATTCACTCTATAAATCTAGTATTTAAAACATCATCAACTATGTCAATAGGATTAAATTCCATACTATTATTAACTTCTTTATTAGTATTAAGTATATTTAGTTCTTCACGCAATCCATTTTCTCCATCCTGAAAGATTGGATTTGTAGATAAAATTATAGTAGTAGAATATGGCGATATGTTAAATTTCGAAACTTAATATAAATAATATAAATTTTTATTTTATTTGAAAACTGCTTTTAAGTATATTAAGTTTAAAAGTAGTTACACCAAAAGTTTATTATATAAAGCCTAAAAATTTAAAAGTAATTACGTGTATCTATAATGGAGTTTAACATTGGCACTAATGCTTGGTTAAAAAGTTGTTAAATCAGGCGTATAAATAGCTAGTGTTAAATTTTTTTTTTTTTTTTCTCTTTTTTTGAAGTTAGGTTTAGAAGTAGTTTTCTTGTTTGTATGTTTCGTTTTTGTTTTAGTAGATAGATACTTTATTAGCAGATGCACGTCGTCTAGAACATGATGCACCATTTAGCGATCATCATGTTATTAATAAAGTTTTTTTTAAAAAAAAAAAATAAAAAAAAAAATAAAAGTAATTACGTCCAAAAGTTTATGTAAAGTCTAAAAGTCTAAAAAAATCCATATGGCAAAAGTCATTTATGGCGTCATACGACAATGTGACGCTACTGACGGGATGTTGAAAAAAATGACGCAACTACATAACTTGAATAGTAACGTTCTATAACTGATTAATTATAAGCTATAAAATTATTTTTTAAAAGTTGCGAAAACCAATACTACAGTACCATGATAGAATTGCATATTGGTTGATTTGTCTAATAACACTAACGTAGTAAAATTACTCCAAATCTTTTCACCATTTTTTTTTCAAAATTCAGCATAACTATCCCAAACAATTACATCTTTCATTTTTTCATATAATAGAAGGCTTTTCCAATAAAAAATTATTTTTAAGTTTCGACAATAATAAGTATTTACTCTTTAATTCATTTCCATAAGATAAAATTTTTTTCTTTAGTATTTTTTCGAAAAAGCGAGATATTATGTTATTCTTTAAGTTATTGAGTATTCTTTAAATTTTTAATATTTATTGAATCCCAATTTTATAAATGCAAAAGTTATCGAATTTTAAAAACTTTGGGTTTTTTTAATAAAAAACAAAGAAAATTCCTGAATTTGATCTTATTAATGATGATCTTATTAATAAAATTTTATATAAGACTTGACAGCGTACCCAGTTTTTCATGTGAAATTATACTGAAAACCGTATCCCAGTATAAAAACATGCCCCTCAGTATAATTTCTGTATGAAAAACGTATTTACTTTTTTATAGGGTAGTTTAAATCATTATCAGAAATTACAAATTTTTAATAATTTTATTTTTTATTCCATAACCCAATGAATTAATGTCAAGATTTTTCGGATAAAATTGTTATTTTAAAAAAAAATCATAAAATAAATACCAATTTTATTAATTTTAAAGATCTAAAATACAATACATAAAATGTTAACATATCTTACATTACCTACTAATAAATAATACATAAAATTATTACTTGTAGAACTTGTCAGCGCAAACGTAGCTAAAAGGGAACGACAACAACTTCAAGAAAGTACTCAACACACTAGCGCACGACCGCGCTCATATCATGAACCAAAAACTTGGTCAATATACCAAACGCACCCTCACTACCACGACGCTTGAATACTAGGAACCTTCTTTAATACCCACGACAAAACTGCCCTACTAAGGTCCTTTAATTAATTTGAGCTTACTGATATCTTTGCTTAACAGATTTTTCATACCAATAATTAGCTTGATTTATATCCCTTTCGACTCCTTCTCCAAATTCATACATTAAAGCAAGATTATATTGGGCTAAATCACTTCCTAAATTTGCTGCCTTTTGATATAGATCAAATGCCTTTTGTTTATCAATACTTGTTCCAATACCACTTTGATAACACCACCCTAAGTTATTTATTCCAATAACATTCTCTAAATTTGCTGCTTTTTGATATAGCTCAAACGCTTTTTGCTTATCAATTCTAGTTCCAATTCCTTTTTCATATAAATATCCTAAATTACATATTCCATTTGGATTTCCTAAACTTGCTACTTTTTGATATAGTTCAAACGCTTTTCTCTTATTAATACTAATTCCAGTACCATATTGATAACACCTTCCTAAATTGTATATTGCAAGTGTATTTCCTAAATCCGCTGCTATCAGAAAATGTTCAAACGCCTTTGGTTTATCAATTCTAGTTCCAATGCCTTTTTCATAACACACTCCTAGGTTACTTAATCCGCGCGCATTACCTAAATTTGCAGCCTTTTGATATAATTCAAACGCTTTTTGTTTATTAACACTGGTTCCAATTCCCTTTTCATAACAATATCCTAAACTAGTTATTCCATATACATTTCCAGAATTAGCTGTATTTTGATATAATTCAAATGTCTTTTGTTCATCAACATCAACTTCAATTCCAAAATGATTAAATATTCCAAGTAAAAAAACAGAATTTGAATTATCCTGATTATTTAATACCCAATTGTAAATTTCCTGTGAAGTTATATTATGATTATTAAAATAATTAACAATTTCATGTTTTTTCCTTTCTTTATTTACATTGTCAAGAAGGAGAATTATTTCATTAACCATTATATAAAAGTTATTGTCAGATGTTATTGATGTTTCTATTTCTTTTGTATTCATATTACAAAAGTTTTTAATAACTTGAGACATTTCTCCATGCAATGAGTTATCAATAACATTTTTAGGAATTTCAACAATATTCTGCTTTTCATTTAATAGAATAATTTCATTTAATTTTGCGACAACCTGGTCGGCAGTTGGACGATTATCTGGTTCTTTATTCCAGCAATCTAAAACAAAAACAAATAATAATTAAAATTTTTATTATAAATAAAAATTATAATTTAAATGTATTTACCGGTATATATTTTCACATAGTCTTCAGGTGTATTGGGAATAGGGTTTTCCCTAAGACCTTGTAATATTTCCATAGCTAAACCAACATCATATGGTTCATTACTAAAAGGTGGGCGCCCACTAGATATTTCCCATAAGAGTATGCCAATACTGTAAATGTCACTCTTCTTATTTAATACATATATTTTTATTTGGTTATTACTATCCCTTCTTCTATTGAATATTTGTGGATCAATGTAAGCAACCATTCCAAATAATTTTGATTGAACATTGGTTGATTCTTCGATTCTTTTGGATAATCCAAAATCTGCCAATTTGATGGTATTTTGGTGAACTAATATATTATTGGAGTGCTAATATTAAACAATAAATAAAATAAATAATTAAATACAATGAATCTTACATACAACATGAATAAACATAAATAAGCAAATAACCTACAGTACCAAATCACGATGCACTATCCCTTCATCATGTAAGCATGATACGGCATGAGATAACTGAAATGCCAGGTTTAATTTATCATTCCAAGTGAGGTTTTCAAAATTTTTACATAAATAATTTCGAAGGGTACCACTATTGGCATATTCCATCACAAGCAAAAAATTTTTTGAATAATCGTTTTGGTTCTCTTCTAAGAAAAAATTTTTTTAGACTTTTTTAAAATTATTATGAGAATAATACATTGAAATATTTATAATACCTGTTGTAATGCCACAAAATCGAATAATATTCTCATGAAAATCAACTTCGCGTTGAAGTTTAAGCTTATAAATAAATAAAATTTTAATTTATGAACGTAATATATAGGAAAAATATAATTAAATTAAATTATAATTACTTCATTAACAATTTCTTTAATTGTGACGCTATTGTAATTATAAAAAGATTTCAATGCTAAATAATTACGAGAATTTTTCCAGTTTGCGCGATATACTTTTCCGGAATTTCCAAAACCAATTTCTTGAATATTAATAAAGTGTTTATAATCGTAATATTTAAAATAATTTCTCGTGACAGCTTCTTCAATCCAATTAATATATTCATCTAAATTATCAGTAAATTCAATTTCAGAGTTATTAGACATTGTTAAATCGTAGAAATTTTTTTACAAAGGATTTTATTTAATTTGTGCTTTAAATAAGACGATCAATCGGTATACTGTATATTCGCATTATATACTTGAATTTCCATGTCGATCATACGAACAATACGAAAAAGTTGCATTATTGAAAATCTGCATGATGACGATAGATGCATGGTACAACATACCTAATCAACCAGTGCGCATGTAACACCCTAATTTTTGTTATTATGATTGATATAATAAAAATTGTGGCACAGCTTACTTATTGAATATTTAGTATATATATATATATTAAAATCGGTTAAATTAATTTTAATTGGTTAAAATTGATGATTTTTAAATTGTAATTCCGGCCAAAATTTTCTTAATTCTGGCCAAATCCATAATTCCGGCATAAATTTAATTAAATTTAGAAAAATACATGTCAAATGTAACATTATATTTATATAATATAACACTTTAATTTAAAAAGCAAAATAAACTTATTGATCATTTCTACAGATTTATTAAAAAAAAATTCATTACTCAAACTGAGTTTTCAAGTTGGATCTTCATTTGAAATTAATGTTTTTTTATATTACAAATAAAAGAAAATAAAGTTTCGAAAATCTATACCATTACGTAAAACATCAATAGCTTCACGAATATCAAACGAAAATTAACAAAATTCAATATACAATTAGTTTCGACCCCACTGAACAATTCTCACTTAATACACAAAGGCGATTCTCTTATAACCAAAGTACCTAAATTACGCTCTGAATGTATTAAATGAATAGATAATAAATGAACGCTAATATTTCCATAAGTACTGATTAAAAACTTATGAAAATTGAAATACATATGGAATCGACCTCATTGAACAATTATCACTTAATACACGAAGGTGATTATCTTATGACCAAAGTGTCTAAATTACGTTCTGAAGTAACTGATTGTGTGCAAAAAATTGAAATTAATTGTGTTATGAATAACATCAGTAGCTTCATAAATATTGGCTAACATTTCGTATAAATTGAAATTCAAGTAGTTTCGACCTCGCTGAACAATTTTCACTTAATAAACAAAGGCGATTTGCTTATGAATAAAGTGCCTAAATACGCTCTAAAATTACTAAACGGAAAAAATAACAAATTTAAAGTTAGCATTGTTATAAAAATACAAATAACTTAACAAACTATTAAATGAAATTTAATGAAAATTAAGTTGCAAGTAGTTTTGATATCGCTGAACAATTTTTACTTAATATATAAAGGTGATATGTTTATGTCAAAATTGCTAAAACTACTACTTTAAAAAAATTTGCGTACTTAAGAAATAATATAAAATTTTGATTTTTTAAAGTTTATGCAAAATCTGTTTGAATAACCAATATTGGAAGCTTAGAAAAACTTTCTTTTCTCGCAAAATTACATATATTTATGTTGTTAAAACTACATTTTTCTTCTTACCTTTAAAAGGATCTCAAAAAAAGTGTGTTTTTTAAAATAAACTACATGTATATGTAAGAAAAAAAAAATTATTAGTAAAACGAAAAACTAATTTAAGAAACTGATAGAGCACATGATAATCTATTAAATTACTTTATTTGGTATGGTGTTGTATATTATAATTGATGATTAATTGTTAAATGATGTAATTCAATTATGGTTACACAAAATTTTATTATTATAAAATTGATCTACATGTTACATGCGCGGTGACTGTAATGAGATTACTAATCTTTTTTCGCTAAGAATTTCATATTTTAAATATGAGGGTTATTTGTTTTAAAACACATTAATTCGATATTAAAAATGAGAGAGCTGTTTTTTGCATTTGCAAATACCGTAACAAAATTAAAGGTGAATTAAACTATGTGCCTCAACACACGTAGTAAATGTGATGTCGTTCAATTTAAAAATTTTTTGATTATTAACAAATTCGGTAGTACTAATCGTTATACTAACTTCTGTTTGATTTTTTAAAAAAGTTTGTGTAACGTGTCTATTATAAAATTGCTCATGTCGCACATTCATCTCATCTTTATGATTACCAAAACAAATTAATCTATTATTATATAGACTCGTAAAAACTAATTTGACTTCGGAAAAATGAGAAATCGATGCAAGGCTAATGATTTAATAATATGTAAAAATGATCATTGACCAAGAAAAATTAATATAAGGTATCTTTTTATAAAGATACAAATGGTTAAAATTGACCCAAAATTTTCTTAACTCTGGCCAAATTCATAATGCCAGCCCAAATTTTGTCAAAATCGAAATTTTTAGCGGGTTTTCATGTTGTTCAACAAACAATTTCGAGTGAAATTTTGAATATATACTCACATAACTTAGATCGCAAATATGTATGATTATTATCATTATTTACCTCTGTCAACGATAGCACGTCCAGGATAATTTCCTATTAATAATTTTATTGTTATTTCATAACATAGAGAGATTCACAGCGAAATCTAACTCAAATATAATTTAGCTTACGATGCTTTAGAAGATTACAAAAAGCCGAGGTTTTTTTATCATAATTTTCTAGTTTTTTTTTGTGTCGACTGGTTCCTATATTCTTTCAGTTATTGTAATTGTCCGACAATATTACCCGCATACTACGTTCAAGTCATTGCTTGGTTCAAAATCCTGTTTTAACGTTGACCTTTGGCTTTAAATAAATTCATAATTAATAATATTCACCTATTATTATACAGTGTAAGTATAATTCAATCCTATAAAAAAATTCCATTTTTTTAGCATTTTGAGATCCCTGCTGTTTAGCAGATATAATGTGTAGAATAGTGTAGAAAATCTTTTTTACGCGAATCTGAAACAATGATTTTAAATCAATATGAGAAAACTAAAGTGCAATAGCGGAAACCAATCATTATTCGACAAGACATTTTGTATCACTTTACATTGAAATATAACATTCCGATTAATAATGCCATAATTAAAGTATTGTACGACTGTACGACTGTACGTGTAATTTCTTATTTACGTTCCCCTTAACTACTTATTTTTTAAACGACATAAGACGTTCAAAAGAAAAAATTTTATTATTATGCCCTTTTTACAACTTTAAAATAATTAGAAAATTTCACAAACCATTTGAAACAATATTAATACAAAAAATTATTCAAATCAAATTACAGATAATTGAAATATTACGAAATTTATATAATTAGGCCGGGCAAAAAAGAAAAATTTAGATTCTCGTGACCCGGCCGGGTCAGTTTTTCGGAAAATGGAAATTTTTTTTTAATAGTCAAAAAAATTTTCATCACGTGATTTTGAGTTTTTGGCAAAATTTTATGTCACGAGAATCTAGAAATTTTTTTTGCCCGCCTTATGACGATTTTTTTTTTTAAAAAAAAAAAAATCAAAATCTTAGTGTTCTATAATTCTTAATTTTTGAAAGAAAAAAAAAATCTTTTTTTGATCTCGTTGTACACCAATGTTTTTGCTGATTGGTCATCGATGTTGTTTGCAAACTTGATATCGAATGATGCATATAGAAACATCACAAAAATGACATTGAAGAGAGGTGAACAAAAAATATAGGAAAAAGCATTAAAATGTATTTTTACAGTAGATTGTTATAAATTCTTGTAAGTAAAATATTACGTTAAAAAATTAAAATTATATAAACTAGCATTAAAATGTATTATTATTTCAGTAGATTGTTATAAATTTTTTTGGATGTAAAATATTACGCTAAAATTAAAAATTATATAAACTAATTCATCGATGTCTTTTTACTTATTCCTCTACATCCATTTCACTTCAGGATATACATCTGAAAGAAAGTATATATAAATTAGTCAAAATAACATAATCAATACACAATACTGCCATAATAATTTTCTTTGCATACAGTACGTACATTGAGGTTTCCTAATATACTCGTGTATAACTCCATTCTCTACGAACCATGCTAACTCACCTCTATCAGTTGAATATTTTTGCGCTTCTTCGGGAGAATCCCCAAGTGGCCACAAAAATTGACTCTCATCATCCAACTGAAAAACCCGGCCATAGCAATCTAAAAATATCATTCCATAATCTGTCTCTTCAACAATAATTATGTGATCAAAGCCATATTCAGCAACACAAGATATATAGTATATTAGTTCCTTTGGATCAGTATCAAGAACCTCAAAATCAATAAATTTCGCAATGCGAGATTTGTCCTTAAATTTATCAACTAATATTTTTTCAACTAATATTGATATGGAAGTAACATTGCAACTCCTTTGTGAAGCATCTTTTTCATTACATACGTACACTCGCATGTACAAAAAGGTAATCTGGTCGCACTTGCAACATAGTTTTTGGCTATCAATTCTAACTGATTCTTCTTCCTAGACAAGGCGAGGGTATAGTTGTACAAGACGACAGGTTCGATACGTTTTTCTGAGAGGTTGGCATATCACCTCGAAGGGTACCAACTCCGCAAAATTCCCCAAATTTCCTCGTTTTTTTGTTGGTTATGACATCCGACACATCAACGCCACCATGTCACGTTGACCGTTGCTGGGCGCAGATTTTAAACCTTTCCGCCAACAGTTTCAGGTTTCTCATTATATAATTATTTGTTACTCTAACGTCATATTTTTCGCAGCACGTCTCGAAGGCCGATTGACGTAAGTCCAAAGAAGACTCCATGCATCCCAAATTGTGATAATTATAACCGGTTGAAACTTGTATAGTTCTACCTTCCTCCCCGTAAGTCATTATTCTGTCCCTTCCACATAAAAATGGTCATTGAATTTCGTTCAAGCATTTTTTCCTATACTCCCATTCCTTACCTGAAGGGCACTACGAATTCCGTAATCAACTTTTTCTACAATTTTTCTCTTAGATTTCCTAACCACTTGTAATCTTGTATGTCTCTAAATGAAAAGAGTAGAGGTTGGAACCGATTAATGTTAATCGATTAATTAATCGGTTAAGGCGGTTAATCGGTTAGAAGTATCAAAAAATCGGTTAATCGACTAATTAACCGACTAAATTAACCGATTAATTAACCGACTAATTTAGTCGGTTAAAATAATATGATGATTTTTTATCCCGAAATTCCGATAAGAAGTTTTTTTTAATATACAGTATTGACAAACTTGTCAAAAAAATAAACCCATTTAAACTTTTTATAAAAACTTGAGAAATTTTAATTTATTATAAAAAAAATTATACAATATGGGTAATAATGAAACAAATGACATTTTTTCAGAATATATTGATTATAGACCTATTGAAAATGAATCTCTATCTGGTCATTTATTATATATTTTTTTGTAACATATTTAAATGCTTTTATAAGTATTTGTTTTTATTTTAAGTTATTTATGGCGTAGCTAAATGTCATGTGATATATATTACGCAAAATATTCAAATGGGCGGCGGAATAAAAACATTCCTAAAAACTTGCAATTCAATTCCACTATCATTAATATTGTTAATTTCCCNAAAACTTGAGAAATTTTAATTTATTATAAAAAAAATTATACAATATGGGTAATAATGAAACAAATGACATTTTTTCAGAATATATTGATTATAGACCTATTGGAAATGAATCTCTATCTGGTCATTTATTATATATTTTTTTGTAACATATTTAAATGCTTTTATAAGTATTTGTTTTTATTTTAAGTTATTTATGACGTAGCTAAATGTCATGTGATATATATTACGCAAAATATTCAAATGAGCGGCGGAATAAAAACATTCCTAAAAACTTGCAATTCAATTCCACTATCATTAATATTGTTAATTTCCCATTTAAGTAAACCTTGAATTAAAGTCAGTTCTCGTTTCCCATTAAAATTTGATATAACTTTTTGAAATAATACATGTATATTATCCATATAGGGTGCAAAATTTATATATTAACCGATTAATTAATCGGTTAACCTCATCACAAATTAACCGATTAATTAACCGATTAATTAACCGATTATTATTCGGTTATGGTAACTGATTAGTCGATTATTAATCGGTTAAGGTTTTTTTGGTCGGTTCCAACCTCTAGAAAAGAGGATGAAAAAAATGGAAAAAAGAAAAAAATCTTCACACTTAACTCCAAAAAGTCTAAAGAAGTCGCTACTAAGGAAAACAGTAAAATGAACGTCGATAACATCCTCAAACAAAAAGAAACCGAAAAAATGAACAAAAAGAAAAATATAAATTTACCATTTGGTCTACAAAAAGTCCAAGAAGCTGTTACTAAAGAAAAAAAATAAGTAAAAGAAATGCCAATAACTCTCTAAATGAAAAGAAAATGAAAATAATAACATGAAAAAAAGAACAAAAGAAACAAACTCACATTGGTTTCCAAAAAGTCAAGAAATCGTTGTTAAAAGGAAAAAAAAGCAACAAGGATATTTATGTGTTAGTCTCGTGACAAATAATGCATATAGTTTGCGTTTGATTTTGAAATGTTTTTATGATAAATTTATTATAAAATTTCCAGAAATTAATTCAACGTCAGAAAATTGTAGAGCCAATGAAGATGGGATTAACTTCAAATGTAACATGTGAAAATAATCAAGGTGATGCAACTGATGCATGCATTTATAAAAGACCATTAAAATTTGTAATTTTTTGTCAAAATTTTTGAATAACGCTTTAGATACTTTATACGACACAATACTAACAAGCGATTATGAGTGAAAATTTCGAACGTACACATTAAACTATCACATAATCTAGATCCAAATATGTATAATTGTTATTTTTTATCGTCATTTACTGATATCAATGATAAATATCATTCCTTTCATACTCTTTTAATCATTAAAAGCTAACGTTCATAATAATTTCATAATATATGGAGATTACAAGCAATTAAAAAGTATAGAGCATAAAATAAATTAGTTTTTTTTCTACACGGACTTTCGTATATTTTACGACAATATCACCCTTTGGATTTAAAAGTTCTAATATTATTTAAACTATTTTAATTATAATTCAATTTTCAGAAAAAACTTCTAATTTTTTTTTCGCATTTTGAGAACCTTGTTTAGCAGATTTTTTATACCAATAAATCGCTTTGTTTATATCTTTTTCAACACCACTACCATATTCATAAGCTAAAGCAAGATTATATTGAGCATCATGATTACCAAAATTTGCAGCTTTTTGATATAATTCAAAAGATTTTTGCATATCAACATCAGTACCTACACCAAAATTATAATAATAACCTAATAAATTCATTCCACCAGAATAACCACCTTCAGCAGATTTTTTAGATAATTCAAAAGCTTTATTATCATCATTTTCAATAATTCCAACTTCATACATTAAAGCAAGATTATATTGAGATTTAGGATTACCTAAATCAGCAGCTTTTTGATATAAATCAAATGCTTTTTGCATATCAATATCAGTACCTATTCCATTATAATAACAATAACCTAATAAATTTATTCCACCAGAATGTCCATTATCAGCCAATTTTTTAGATATTTTAAAAGTTTTATTATAATCTTTATGACCACCTTCACCATCTTCATACATATAAGCAAGACTAAATTGAGCCAAATTATTTTCTAATTTTGCTGCTTTATCATATAATTCAAAAGCTTTTTTTTTATCAAGATTTGTTAAAATTCCATGATAATTAAAATATCCTAATAAATAAATAGAATTTGAATTATTTTGATTATTTAATAACCAATTATAAATTTCTTGTAAATTTATATTATGATTTTTAATATAATCTAAAACATGTTGTTTTCTTACAAATTCTTCTTTTCCTTCATTTACTTGTTTAAAACTCAAATTAACTAATTCATCAACTACAATACTTAAATCTTCTTCAAATATATTTTTATGAATATTTTTTTGAGTGGTTGGTTCCATTTCTTTTGTATTCATTTTATCAAAAAAAAAAAGAAATTTGTAAATCCTTTTATTATTGTTCTTGTCGTATTAAATAGTACTTACTTATGTTGTGAATTATTATCACAACATATTTGTTTATTATCCAATACGGGTTTAGACCCAATGGACCATTATGACGTAATTATGATGATCCATTAGAAGAGATATAATAATGTAATAATACGAAATTGTATTTAATTCCTAAACATATTAATATGGTTAAATTCATCATTTTAAATGTCATAATAACGCAAATTATTAGTGAAAATATTGAATAATTTTAATTGAGGAAAATATTTTTATGTATTAATGATTTTGAACGTTCAATTTTAAATAACTTTTGTGCATCGTAATACTGTGTAACTGCCCCCTATATTGTTTAACAACGTGACGACATGACATTGTGACGACGTGACGACGTGACGTTTAAATTAACGTAGAAAATAATTTGTCGAATTGAATATATTATGTATAGTTATAAAGAATTTAATGAACCTAACGTTTAATGTAATTGATTTGTTCATTCTAATTTGTTAAAATATTAATTAAATCAATTTATCATAAATATTTTATTCAAAATATGATACGGTGACGCACATATGATATCTTAACGTAAAATTATTACAAATATCGTTTCTCATATTTTGATAATAGCCGCAGTGGCTTACCTTTTATACGAATATTGAATCTGTAGATACATATTTTAAGCTATTAATCATAAGAAGTCCGCTGGGAAAGAAGACCAGTATACAATATACGACTTGAAAAATATTAATTCTGGAATTAAATTTTGGCCATGTATCTTACAAAATACCCATGGGAGTACGATGTATCTTGTGCAGTGCGGTATGGTAATTTAGCTTTTTTGAAAAAAAGATATATTAAAAAAAACACGTATTTTGAAAGACGTCATAAGAGCGAAACGTTTAAATTTCATCATATAAATCAAACAAAAATATCGGTATTACAAAAATTAAACGCAAAGAAACTATTAAATACTATTAGCTTAAATAATGACATCTACAAATATCGTTAATAAATTTTGAAATAATCAATACTTCATTACAAAGTAAAATCAAATTTAATAAACTTAACTTTTATTGTAATTTATAAAAAATGATATTGTTCAATTATTCGTATTATCGTAATTCAAATTTCATTAATAGTTTCAAAAGTGTGATTTATATAAATTATAATATTTTTTTTTTTTGAAATAAGTCGTCGTAATTTTTGACGAAACCCTCTTTTGTAATATTATCGTAAAAAATCTTGGACAAACAAGAAGTATATCATTAAAATTTGCAGCAGTCGATCATTTTCATGGTACCACCAATAAACTTCATGTATGTTATACATAATATTGCATCTATGACATCAATGACTAACCAAATAACGTAATATATAATCACGTTTCATTGGTTTATTTTCACTACCATTTTTTTACATTCCTAGATTTTTCGCTTTTTTACATTCAATAATCCTAATATGTCCTATAAAAACGAAGTTCAAGTAACAAAATATTCAAATGAATGGATTAATTGTATTGAAGAATATATTTCTAAAAATAAAAATATAAAATATTATGAATATTATCATTTTCATAATATTGAAAAAATTAATAATGATAATTTTGGAAAAGTTTATCGTGCAAATTGGAAGAATTCGGAACAATATTTTGTATTAAAATCCCTTAACATTGATAATATTACTGTTAAAGAAATCATTCATGAGGTAAATTTTATAAAAATTATTAATAAAATATATTTTTGGTCTAATCATTTACGAATCAGTTATATTTGTAATTTAGCTTGAATTTTGTAACGATGTTAATTTACACGTAAATATCATTAGATTTTTTGGTATTACGAGTAAAGGTAATATATGTATTACAATATTTAAAGTTATGAATTATATATTTTTAATTCGACTTTATAAAATATATTAATTAACTACTTTTGAATTAGAAGTTCGAAATAATCAAGCGAAGGAATATTTATTAGTAATGGAGTACGCTAATGGTAATTCCCTTCGAAACTATTTGAAAGAAAACTTTAATAAACTAACTTGGGAAGACAAGTACGAATTTGCATACCAGTTAACATGTGCTGTATCACATTTACATGATAAAGGGATTTCCTATTGTGGCTTGGTAATTTTACTAATTTTTATAATGTTGAATAATTTAAAAGATTTTCATAAAATTCATATTATATATTTTTTTTACAATAGAACCCTAATAATATATTAATTCATCAAAATACAATCAAATTAACCGTTTTTGGATTATCGAAAAGGGCCAAGGAATTATCTAATCAAAAATCGGATTTGATATGTTATATTGAACCAAAAATGTTAAAACCGTACTTATTAAATTCGTACTCATCAAATCCGTACTCATTAAATCAGAAGAGTGACGTTTATAGTATTGGTGTAATATTATGGGAGATATCAAGTGGTCAATCACCATTTAAAGATGAATCATATAATGATAATTTAATTATGAAAATTTTAAAAGGTTATAGAGAATCAATTGTTTCAAATACTCCTCTTGATTATTCTATTCTCTATATTGGTAAATATAATTAATTTTTAATGTTATTTAAATTAAAATCTTATATTTACTATTATTATTATTATTATTATTTTTAGAATGTTGGAATAACGATCCAGATAATAGACCCGAAATTAATCAAGTGGTTTCTAAATTAAAAACAATTATTACGAAAAACAAAATGATATTAAAACGATCAGATCAACTTGATTCTACATCACTAACATCAGATAATAATCAATTAAATGAAGATTTATATCAAATTATTCAAAATTTTGATAAAACAAATATAAAAGAATTAGAACCTACAACAAAGAATATTCATAAAAATATATTTGAAGAAAATTTAAGTATTGTGATTGATGAATTGATTAATTTTTCTTTTAAAGAAGTAAATGAAGGAAAAGAAGAAAGTACAAGAAAGAAAAATATTTTAAATTATATTAATAATTTTAAAATAAATTTACAAGAAATTTATAATTGGCTTTTAAATAATCAAAATGATTCAAATTCTATTTATTTATTAGGATATTTTAATTATCATGGAATTATAATTAATGTTTATAAAGAAAAAGCAGTTGAATTATATCAAAAATCAGCAGAATTAGATAATTGTTTGGCTCAATATAGTCTTGCTTATTTATATGAAGATGGTGAAGGTGATATTAAAAATTATGATAAAGCTTTTGAATTATCTAAAAAATTAGCAGAAAAAGAATATTTGAGTGGAATAAATCTTTTAGGATATTATTATTATAATGGAATTGGAACTGATGTTGATGTACAAAAAGCATTTGAATTATTTCAAAAAGCTGCTGATCAAGGAAATATTAGAGCTCAATGTAATCTTGCTGATATGTATATTGATGGTGAAGTTATTGATAAAGATGATGATAAAGCTTTCGAATTATCTAAAAGATCAGCGGAAGGTGGTCATTCAGGTGGTATGAATTTATTAGGTTATTGTTATTATAAAGGAATTGGTACTGATATTGATATGGAAAAAGGTTTTGAATTATATCAAAAAGCTGCAAATTTAGGAAATAGTATAGCTCAATATAATCTTGCTTTGATGTATGAAAGTGGAAATGGGACTAAAAGAGATATGAGTCAAGCAATTTATTGGTATAAAAGATCTTCTGAACAAGGAGATAAAGATGCTATGTATAGATTAAATGATTTAAATGATATGCAAGAATTTTTTTAAAAAATAATGAATTATTTGAATTATAAACTATAGATAATTTTTAGATAAACAATATTTTAGTTTGATTTAATAATAGTATAGGTTTATCATACCTTTTTTTTTTACGCTAAAGAGTGATAATATTTACGAGATTGTACAAATTAAATTTAATTATATATTTATATACGACTTTTGATTTCGGTATATATTAAAAATAAACATGTAAGAGCTAATAAATTATAATTAAATAATTAATACATAATTGGATATTATGTTCGTGATGCTTACTTTAAAAAAAATAGATATTTTATTATAAAACCTTTTTTTAGATATTTAGTTAAGTATTAATACTTTCTTTCATCTTAGAGTGGTTAGCAGATAGAATAACATATAGTTATATCTTTTATATTTTTTATATGTAATTATAAATTTTATTAAAATAATAAAAGAAATGCGCGTTACTAACAAATATATATAATATATATACTGTATTAACCTTTTTAGTTTTGATCATCACAACAAAACATTGATACATTTATTAAAAAAAATAAACTATTCTGAAAAGTACGTGCTATTCCCCTAAGGAAATCTATAGTAGTAGTTTTTTGTATTTTATTAATCTAACAAAGAAATACTTGTTACTAACAATAAAAATTTCCTATTTCATATTAAGATATATGTAAAAATATTTAAAATTTTTATATTTAATTTTATATATATTTGTAAACGTTCGTCGGTGAAATGTTTGTTGGTGAAGTAATTGCCGGTGAGTTAAACGCGACCCGGTTTTTTTATTACTGTAATTGTGAAACGGGACATGGAAAATTTATCGGTACAGGCAATTATCAACTGTATATAGTATCTAACTCGGAATTATACAAACTTTTAGCGATCATTTACTGTACTATATAAAGCTTGCTTTAGTTCCGGACTGAGATCGAGCTAACTAGTTTTTGTTGGTTTCACGAATCCTTTACACTTTTTAATATGTTGTTTCAAGTAACTTTTCTTATTTTTACGATACCAGTTTTAATTTATAATTCTAACTCTGTTATATGTTGCAAACTGAGTAACGAATTTTAGTTGTACTGGTTTATTCAATATTTATTTTTTATGTCGGTGAAATGATTGTCTGTCGGTAAAATAACCCTGTCGGTGAAACGTTTGTCGGTGAAACGTTTGTCGGTGAAACGTTTGTCGTGAAATGTTTGTCGATGAAGTGAACCAGACCCGTAACGATAACGATAATTTGATATACCGATATATTTTCCCAAAACAACAGTATAGGTCTGTCTGTATTTGTTTACATTGTTCATACAAAGAAATCTTTGAAATTAACAAAATTAGGAAAATTATATAAGAAATTATGTTGAATCATTTTATACTTCATATTAAAGGGACATACCACGGTTTTCCCGACGACCATTCTCCAAAATATCCTTTGCTCGACAACGTTTTATCGGCGGTCGGCACGACATATTACCGAATGGACTTTCTCGACGTGATATTATCCCAACAACACATTCCAACAATACGTATCCAAACAACATATATCCCAACAAATATATTCCGACAGACATTTTATCGACAGAAAGAAAAAGAAAATATGCTAAATTGTCCACGAACGATTATCCAATCACTCATTTTGGGGAAATGTGCCTATTGGTAAAAGTCCTTTGGGTATCTGCCATGTCGGAACAATCATTGTTGGGTAAAGGGTACGCCGAGAAAATGGTTGTCGGGAAGTTATCCGTCATTGAATTAACAATATCGAAATATCACGTGACAAATCACAAAACAACTATTATGCATAATAGATAACGTGCATAATTGACTAACCAAATAACGTAACAGATCAATGACCTGACTAATATGTTTACTTATAAAGGGTTAATGTTTGGCCTTTTCATTTTTATTTTATTTATTTATTTTTTTTTTTAACTCCATAGTACTCTCTATAATAATTTTTTTCAATGTCTGACAAAAACGACGTACAAATTAACAAAAATCCAAATGACTGGATTATTTGGATTGAAAAAGCCATTTCTGAAAATGATATAAAATATTATGAATACGAACATTTTCATAATATTAAAAAAATTGGTAAAAATGTTTGTCGTGCAAATTGGAAAAATTCGGAAAAATGTTTTGTACTTAAATCCTTTAACGCTAACAGCACAAATGTAAAGGAAATCATCCACGAGGTAATTTTATTATATACGATTAATTTATTCGTAATAGAATTAATATTAATTTTAATAATATTAGCTTGAACTTCGTCGTGAAGTTGATTTAAATAAAAAAATTATTAAATTTTTTGGTATCACTGACAAAGGTAAGAAAAAATATTAAATATTTTTAAGAATATTATATTTACTTTTTTTTTATATCAATAAACTCATTTATTTCTAGAAAATCTAATTGATCAAACTAAGAAATGTTTACTTGTAATGGAGTATGCTGATGGTAGTTCCCTTCGAAGCTATTTAAAAGAAAATTTTAATAATCTTACTTGGAAAGATAAACATGAAATGGCATATCAATTGACATGTGCTGTATTATTTTTACATGATAGATGGATCGTACATTGTAATTTGGTAATTGACTTAATTGACTTATTTCATTAAAATTATTTTAAAAATTATTTTTATGTTTGATCACTTATATATTTTATTATTATATTTTTATAATAGCACCCTGGCAGTATATTAGTTCATCAAAATACTATCAAATTAGCCGATTTTGGATTTTTATCAAAAAGAATTGAAGAATCTAATAATCAACGATCGAGTTCATTCGATAAAATTCCTTATATTGATCCAAAATGGTTAAATAATATTAATATAATAAAGCAATCTCCATTAAATGAGAAGAGTGATGTATATAGTATTGGTGTATTATTATGGGAAATATCAAGTGGTAGACTACCATTTAAGGATGAACCATTTGATACTGGTTTGGTTATGCGAATCTTACAAGGTTATAGAGAGACGATTGTTCAAAATACTCCTCTTGATTACTCTATTCTTTATACAGGTAAATATAATGATTTAATTTTTAAAAACATTAAATTTGAAAGATCTCATTTTGTTTCTTGTTTAGAATGCTGGGATAATGAACCAGATAATAGACCAACAATGGATCAAGTAGTTGCTAAATTAAAAGAAATTATTACAAAAAACAAAACGATAACACAGAAACCTAAACTTAATTTTGATTATGGTAATACATCAAATACAAATGATTCATCGAATGAAGAATTATTTCAAATTATTCCAAATTTTAATAAAATTAATATAAAGGAAATCGAACCTACAACACAAAATATTCATGGAAACATTTATGAAGAGGATTTAAGTATTATTATTGATGAATTAGTTAAACTTTATTTTAAGGAAGTAAATGAAGGAAAAGAAGAAAAAACAAGAAGAAAAGATGTTTTTAAAATTATTAATACTTTTAATATTTCTATAAAAGAAATTTATAATTGGCTCTTAAATAATCAAAATAATTCTAATTCTATTTATTTACTTGGATATTTTAATTATTATGGAATTGGAACTATTATTAATAAACAAAAAGCTTTTGAATTATATAAAAAATCAGCCGAATTAGGTAATAATATAGCTAAATTTAGTCTTGCTTTAATGTATATAGATGGTGATGGTACTATTATAAATCATATTAAAGCTTTTGAATTATCTAATAAATTAGTAGAAAAAAAGTATTTAAGTGGAATAAATTTATTAGGATATTGTTATTATAATGGAATAGGAACTGATGTTAATAGGATAAAAGCATTTGAATTATATCAAAAAGCAGCAGATTTAGGTAATAATTTAGCTCAATATAATCTTGCATTATTACATATACATGGAAGTGAATTTGGACTTGATGATGATAATAAAGCTTTTGAATTATCTAAAAAATCAGCGGATGGAAAAAATTCAGGTGGAATAAATCTTTTAGGATATTGTTATGATAATGGAATTGGAACTGATGTTAATGTACAAAAGGCATTTGAATTATATCAAGAAGCAGCAAATTTAGAAAATGATACAGCTCAATTTAATCTTGCATTAATGTATGAAAATGGTAATGGAATTAAAAAGGATATAAATCAAGCAATTTATTGGTACAAAAAAGCTGCTGAACAAGGAGATCAAGATGCAAAATTAAAATTAAATATGTTGAAAAAAGTTTAAGATTGAATTTAATAATAGCTTTTTTTTTGGATTTTTAGTTTAATTAAAAATTAAATAATTATAGTTCAAAGTAATTTGTATTTTTCAATTTTTTTTTGTATTTAAACGATATAATTTTTATAATTTATAAATAAAATAAATTTTTGTCTATAAAATCATTATACCACTGCCATAATACATGATTTCACAAAAACTTTGCTCTAAATTAGACATGTTAATTAATATTGCTTAATACCTTCAAGAATCATAAAGAAAAAACTTTATTATTACTACATTTTTTTTATTTTATTCATACTATTAGTCTGTTACAAATGCTGTAATTGTAAAATAGAAAAATGAGAGACCTACAGTAAATGGAAATACTTATATGCGAAGAATACGCTACAGCATACTGCATAATAGTATCAACTTAGAATGAAATAAAAAAAAACAAAGTAACATATAACATTGTCTATTTTATATAGCTGATTTAACGTAAAGTCAGAACTTGCTATGTCGAAATTTATGTTTAGAGCCGTCTGTAAGTATATTCATATACTGTATATAAATAAAATCTTGAAAAATAGCTTTATCATGAAATTCGTTATATCGCATACTAGTTGTATTGAGCTCTGACCGTATCTTGATAGACAAATGTATCAGCAATAGAAAAATCTGAAATTACAATAAAAGGTACTTACTCAGATATATCCTGGTATTGCTCCAACGGTTACATAGGAAATTGCAATAAAACCTTCCCTTACGCAAACAATAAATGATATTCCAGCAGAGCAAAACTATGAAACTTATTGTTTAACATTCTTGATAAAGGATACAGATTATTATGAAGTTTGAACTCAAGAATGAGGTAAAAGAAAATTTTTAATTTTTTTTTATTGTATTATAATATCAATAAATAATTTCGAAAAAAATTGATCATTAGATTATTTTTAGACTCTACAGATAATACCAAGATGCTGAATTTACCAATCTTTTCACGATCTAATAGCGGTAAAGAAAAGCCAAAAGTGTCAACGCCTTTAGTTTCCAGTTTAGGTTATGATACAGCGCTCATTTTTTTTGCTTTTCCATCACAAATGATGATTCAATGTACAGAGGGCTAATCCAATTCCGGTTAACGGAATTTTTTTTTTATTATTCCACTGTTGAAATTTTTCAGTTTTTTTTCACCCCAAATATTCTTAATTTCTTTCTAAACCAAAAATTTTCCAGTATTTAATATTTTAAATTTAGTTTCTTTTTGGTTTTTTTAAAGCTAATTTTTTCTTAAAATTTTTTTCATTTTTTTTTTCAACCTAAATTTTTTCTTCTAAATATTTAATTAATATTCTTAATTTTCTTTTTTTTGGTTTTTTCTAAACTGAAATTTCTCCCTTTTTTTTCGTTTCGGTTTTTTTTCAAACCGAAAAAATTTCACCATTTATGTTTGGATCAGTGATCAGATTGGCTTTTTCCCCATTTCTTTATTTTTTTACCAATTATTTTCCCTTCATAATTTTTTTTTCATCTCTTCATCTCATAGCTTTGGATCGGGTCATTGCTGCGTAATAATTAAAATAATTATATATTTTTTTGTTTACAACCTTTTAATTAGTATGTAATCATTAAAATGATTATAAATTTAAATATTATTTGTGCACAATTTATTTATGGTTTAAGTTCATTGATCTTAGTACGAAGCAATGGGTGACTGCTAGTTTATTTTAAAAATATTAATATCTGTCAAATTGTACATGCAGATTGATTTATTGATTACTTGGTGAAAAATTGTTCAGAGAAATGGCTTCACGAAGAAGTCTGCATTGTATGTGGTATTATATATCTAGATGAATATTTCTAACCATTCAGGAAGAGATTCAACAATTCAATCAATATTTGATGCCGGAAATGAAAAGTTTGAAGCAATGGCAATTTCTGGTTATACAGAAATTAATCAGCTGGAGTGTCAAAGTAACAAAAGAAGAAATAAAGGAAGATTTTCAGTTCAGATATGCAAAAATTAACTGAAGAAATATCTGATGCTGACTTAAAAGCTGATAAAAGAGAAGTACAGCATAATGAAAAAGTGATGAAATTATATTGTCTGGGTTTACCAAGACTTCAGATTTAATAAAAAAAATAAAATGACAAATAGCCATTGCAGGAAATTTCTACTATTATAATAATTGTTCAATTTATAATAACTGATATTTGTAATATTGTAATATGCAATAACACCTAATAAATAATGTTTGCCTGATACTATATTTTATTTGTACGAGATTTCTATTATACAAATTACAATTTGTCATAAATACTAATCTAGTAACGGCGTTTATTACTAAAAGAAAAAATTTTTTATTTGTAATGTTTTAATTATTATTTGATATCTAGAATATGTGTTTATTAACAGTGAACTTCGCACTCTAAATCATAGAAAGAAAATTTTCTATCATTTATCAAAAAAAAAAAATTGTATTATTTTTAACCCAATCACTTATGCTTTGAACAATCTATCTGGTGGCGATGAAGTCACCACACATCAACCTAACTAGTTGTTATATAAGTACATTATTAATCATTCTTTTTCTCAATCCTTGTTTTCAATAATAATTTTTTTTTCACATCTATTTTTTTGTTAATATTTTTTTTTTCATTCTTTTACCTATTATATTTGGATCAGTGATCGGAAAGATGCTGTGATGCTATAATAAATACCTCCAAATTTTATTTTAATAATATTTTTTTCCTAGTATTTTTTTACTATTTTTTTTCTTTCTATTATTTTTCTTTCTTTTATCTTTTAGGTTTGGGTCAAGGTTAGTGATGTCTAAAGTTTTTAATATATTAGTTTAATTATTTTTAAATTGAATTTTTTTTACAATAAATAAAATGAATTCATTAATTTTAAAATATTACAAATAAAGCAAATGAAAAAAAATGAAACAGTATCAATTTAAAAAAAAACAGTCATAGGTGGTTAATTATATCCTTCAGCTCAAGCAAGCTTTCCATTTCTTTTCTTGAAAAATATTTATCTTCAAAAGTTTCTGGAATATTTGGACAAGTTTTATAAAAATTTGGTAATAAATCACCTATACATACGTTAGGAATATAAGTTATCTTTTCTCTATTAGACCCATGTCGGAAATAATCTATTTGCTATATGAATAAATAATAATGCTGAGTTACTCAAACCAATTTTCTTTTATATAAAATGTCACAAGTAAAATGAAATATACCATATTAATAGAACCATTTATTTCAATTGAAGGTTGTATATAATGGTTATTTCTAATTTTTGGAAGTTTATATTCAATCCAACCTAATCCCTCAAGTTTTAACACATCTTCATATTTTAACACATGTTCATAATGTTTTAGTTTAGAATCCTTATACTATGCAGAAATAATAAATCCATATATTAATTTAAAATAACATTTTAATAGTGAAAAAAGAGATTTTAGCAATTAATAAACTTACAGTGCTTTTAATTATAAATTTTATAAAGCAATCTTTATTTAGTATTTCTTTAACATTTATTTTCCAAATAATTCCATCACACCACTCAAAATATAGCATGGGCAAATTCAAATGAAGCTCTTCATTTTTTGAACTTATTATCTTTCCTGATAAACTAAGAAATTCATAGTTAAAAAATTTACCACACAATTTTGAAATTTTAAAATGCATAATGAATACATTCATTTACCTATTTATTTCATTTTCTTGAAGTTGATGAAGTTCACTATTTAAATTTACCAGATTTGATATAAAATAAACGTGTGATTCTAAATAATTTATTAATTAATAGATCAATTATAAAACATTATAAGAAATTAATAAATTAAGCATTCTCTTACTTTCATAAATGTGTTTACTAAATCCATTAACAATTCCAAGTTCGGAAAGATCATTATTGTTATTAACATTTAAATATAACCAAAAATCCGTGTATTCTCGTAATAAATGAATATATGAATTATATTCATATCCATAACGTTTAGAATGTAACAAGTCCAAGTCTAACATTGCTTCATGATACATTTTTAATTCTATGTATACTTTGCATCTAACAAAAAGTAGTAATACACTACCTTGAATATTAGAAATTTGATTAATTTTAATTTTTGTTAATTTATTATTTAATTCTGTAGAATTATTTTTATTCAGTAAATATTCTAGATGAAATAGTCGAGTTTTTGCTAATATATCATTAAAATCTAATAATTCTTTATACTTTTTAAATACCATTATAGAATTATCAATATCTTTTTTTGCATAATAAATTTGACACTTGATATAATATGCTAAACTATTTAATGGATCTAATTGTATAACTTTATCAAGATCTAATAAAACTTTATTATAATCTTGAAGAGTATAATAGGCAATAGCTCTTTTAATTAAATTATGAGTATTTTCTGGATCAATAATATTTGCTTTTGTAAAATATGATATAGCTTTACTATATTGTCCTATGATATATAAAATTTCTCCATAATAACATAAAATTAATGAATCATCATTGTTGATATTCAGCAGTTTATCTAACATTTCTAAAGCATTATTATAATAACCATACTTTGCATAGCAAAATGCATTATACTTAAGACATAAATAATTATCTGGATCATTTCTTAATGCAATATTATAGTAATATGTACCATAACAGTCATGAAATAAGTTACTATTTCCAGTTATTATATATACGTTATTTATTTTAACCTTATAATCTATTGACATGCATAAATTATTTACTGATTCACTATAGTTACTTTGCCAAAAAAATATTTCTCCACAAATTAAATAAGCAATTGGTTCTTTTGGTTTTAAATTAATGGCTTCTTTCAAATAGAAGTGTGCTTGTTCATAATTTTTAAGACATCTATAAATAAAACCTAAAATGCATCTTAAAGAATAACTTTTAGGAAAAAAATTTAAAAATTCTTTGCACAATGATTCAGCTTTTTCATAATGTTTTTCATTTATTTCTTTTATAATATTTTGATAAGTCGGATGTTGTTTTTTTGAATTTCTTGAAAGTATTGATGATAATGATATATTTGAATTTAATTTAATAATTGAATTCATAGATTTTTTCTTTTTAGCTAATATAAGATCAGCTTCTGAATTATCTGAATCATCACTATCATATATTTGATCTGAATTTTCTAATTTAATTGGAGGTATAATATGTCCAGATTCAGAAAATTTAATATATAAATTTTTATAAATGGAATTTTGTGGTAAATATCTGATGTCATTTTCTTCAATTTTTTCTCTACATTTAGGACATAATTTTTGTTTTAATAATTTTAAATTATTTAATGATAATGTATGTTGACATATTAAAATACATAATTGATCCTCTGGTTCACTACTAATTGGACATGTCATTTCATCTGCTATAATATCTATAACATTAGAATTTGATGTTTGTTCTCTCTTTAAATATGAATTTTGACTTAAACTTTTTCCTTTTCCTTTTCCTTCCTTTTCTTTTCCAATATTTTCACTTAAAATTTTTAAGTCTTCAAGATATTTTCCTTTAATAAATAATAATAAATTTTGAAATTTTTCTTCAAATGATTTATTTTCATTTAATTTTTTTATATATTGATCAATATCATCATCAATCATTGAAAACATTTTACTATCAATATTATGTAAATGTAATAATATTTCAACTGCTTTAAATTGAATGAAACTACTTGGAGCTTTATTAAGTGATTCAATTGCTAAATAATAACAAAGACCATATGTAGCAGTTTGAGTAGATTTTTGAATAAGGTTTTGTGCAAGATCCAATATTCCAAACCATAAGGTATGTGGTAATGCAATAGGTTCATTTCCAGCGAGATCATTTAAGAAATTTCCAGTGTTTTTTAAAGCTTTAGTAACTTTATTTGATACTTCATCAAATTTTGTTTGAGAATCTAAAATAGATTTATTAGTTATGTCAATCCATTCTCTTTCCAAGAAGCCCCAAAGATATTCCATTAATACCAACTCGCAGAATTTCTTACTAATTATCATTTCAGTACCTTCAGACCAGGTGAAAAGATTATGTTGAAACATCAACATAATTCTCCAATCTACATAATAAGATGCTACAGGATATTTAAAACTTAAGCTTTTACGTATTTGAGTAAGCATTGATAAGATTGAACAATTATCATTTGGAAGAGCAACTCCTGCCACTGATAAAATTCCTGGGGTAATATTCAATGTAGCTTTAAGTAATTCTTTAGTTCTTCGTATAATTTCTTGAAACCAAGTTTCATCATCACGCAAACTATGTAATGTGTCTCGTAAGTGGATTAATAAGAAGTCAATGTTATAATTACGCTTTTTGTTGATAATTTGGCCATCTTGATCGTTGTTTTGTTGATTAAATTGGTTAAAATTTGATCTAAAATTATTATCAAGTCCTATTTCAAAAACTTGAGTCGTTTTACGATGAATTTCTGCAAATTTTGATAAAGAATTATAAACTTTATCTCTAAGTTCTTTACTAAGTACTATTGGTGAAAAGCATATCCGTTCTAAGACTGTTACCCAAGTTCTTAAATGTAACTCCAATCTAGTCACACTTTGTTTTGCATAAAAATCGAATGGAGTCGGATCCGCTAAGGCAACCAAAGTATCTCGGAGAATTTGAGGTGAAAATTCATTTTGTAAATTTTCAAAAAGTAATTTTAATACATACAAATATTTTATGCCGGTCAGTTTCTTAATAAGTTCTTCTGCCTTTTCATCGGGAGTTATAAATCCATCCTCTTCTAATTTTAAAAGAATACTATTATTGATGAAGTTTTCATGCGAAACAATTTTATATGAAAAAACAGAGTCGTGAATTTCTGGAATAGTATTGCTAGAAGAACTTCCGCTCTACATGTTTATGAAATTATTATAAACTCAATTTTTAATTAATTAAAATAATTAATATTACTTAAATTGTAATTTACCTGACATGAACTTCCTTCCATATTTTTTTTTTGTTGCAAAAGAATTAAACTTCTACCAGTGTAAGATTTTTAGGAATAATATTTACATTTAAGCGTACGTTTGTACAACCATAAGTTGGCGTAAATTATCGATCATCTCGGAAGCGTCCATTCAAAATTAACTTATTTTAGTAAGATCTGTGCCTCAAAATAATGTTTCGAACTTTTCGATCCGGATAGAATCCGTTATCCGAATAAATTCCGGATAAATTAAAAAAATTATCCGATTTTTACCGATTCAGATAAATGACATTTATTAAAAATTATAATTTCGGCCGGCATTATGAATTTTACCTGAATTATGCTACCAATTTTTTAAATTTATAAAAAAATGTAATTAACATAAATAAATATATTACAATATATATAAAAGCAAATAAATTGAAGCATATAAAAAAAAAATCGATTTTCCGTTAAAATCGTGATCATTAAAATTGCTGCGCCACTACCCTTATGGTTTTAAAATTTTTTTTCAAAACTTTATTATCCGGATTCACCGGATATTTTTTAACCAGATATTTATCCGGATAAAACCGGATATCCGGAAAATAAAATTATCCAGGTAATTATCCAGGTTCATCGGTCACGGCACACATCACAATTCAATGATTATCTCATGATGGAATAAAATTTGTAACTTTTCATGTATTTTATTGAAAAATATTTTTCCAATATTTGCTATAAAAAAAAATTATGTACTATTCAATATCAACCTAGAGTTTGGATCCATTATCCGTCAAATCCGATAATGATTTATCCGCATATTATCCTTCCCTATTATCCAATAGATATCCCAGATATTTAAATCTTTGATGCAATTGCGTTACTAGTTTGATCTACTATATTTACGGTAATACTTTGACTTACAATAAAATAAAGCTTATTTTTTTTCTTTTTTTATTAATGACCTTTATTGGTAACTTTACCACATCGATATGAGCGTATTATAAATCATTTTTTGGCAAATTTCTAAATAAGAAAATAAATACGGGTATGCTAAAGTGAGTAAAATCTAAATAAAATAAGTAACTAAGCATATTTTAGTAATTTCGAACATTTTTTGTCAGGTGGAAATATTAGAAACTCCAAACGAGAAACACTTAAAAGTTAAATTTCAAATTGAAATCACCCAAAAAATTACTAACTTTCATTCGAATTATTTGAAGTCTCCAAATTAGCTTAATAAGGGTAAATCTTTTTAACTTCTTCGATTAAAATGTTATTAGGGATACATTTTGAAAATATTAATAGTAATTTGAATTTTTTTTAGTAAAAAAATTTCTCGCTGTGGAGAAGAAATGATATCAGAATTTACAATAAATAATAAAATAAAGTAAAAATTATTTATAACACAAACATTTTTTTTTCACGATAACTCGTATCAAAATTCGAAGATTTTTCCTTTATAACGAAAACAATATGCTCCTAATAATTATGCAAGATGCTTCACAATCTAGAGAAATATATTTAAAAAGAAAATTATTCTCAGGAATGTTTCTGCATTTTTAGCCAAAACATGGATAATCGGATCATTAGATATCGAAAGGATATATTTTAAAAGAAAAAAATATGCAGTATTCGCTCATCCAGATAGTAAGAAATTTATAAGATTAAAAGCTTTAGTTCATATCTAATTTTGCAATAATTTAATATCAAATGATTTATTAAAACTTTTATTTGCAATCGATTTAACTACAGGGAACATCCAATTTTTTGTCATATGATAAAATCGTCATGAATTATATATGATATTCATCCTCGTAAATAATCAATAAGATTATTATTTAAAGAATCTCTAGGATGGTTAAGTTTATCAGATAAACTTAAATCATAAAAACTTCGAACTTTAATATTATGTAACTTAAATTCCTTTACTACATCTCTCAAATCATACAAATCTATATTATAACTGTTCCTGATAGCTAAATAATTGACTCTTTTTTCATTCATAATAAATTCCTTTGTATAATGTAAAATATCATAACTACCTATTTGCATTATTAATAATTTATTAATAAAAATATTTTGGGAATTTTCTAAGAATACTCTAAATTTACTTCTTTTAATAGTAAGAGTCAAACTCAAGTATTCTAATTTAGAAGGGAGAACTTGACCTAAATTTTGTAATATGATTGAACTACCTTTAATATTACCATAACAATCTCTCCCAATATTGATTGAAAGATAATTAAGATTTTGTTTAATAATATTTTCGATTACTCGAAAAGTAACCCGATTTTCATATCCATGAAAATCAAGAAATTTGAGATTTTTACAATATTTTATAATTAATTCTAAATGTCGTTGACTTATTAGTGAATTGCGAATTTTATACCCAAAATTTTCTAAATAACTTCCAGATTTTTGTAATAATAATTCTATTGATTCGATTGATATTAAACCATCCATAAATAAAGATTTTAATTTAAATGGTTTAGTTAAATTATTAATTTGTTGAAGAAAATTCTCATTTAAAGAATAACAATAAATAATATGAACAGATTCCAAAACATTTAATTGTTCGAATATGTTACTAGTAAAATGAATCAAATTGGCTCGATAGAATGTAATTGTATTTAAGGTATTTGAACAATTAAAATCTTTTGAAAATAATAATGATTGATATAGACGAAAATCAATATATCCTGATAATAAATTTTTTTTTGAATTTTGATGTGATTTAATTATTTGTAATAGATGATCATTAACTGGAATATTAGTACAAAAATCACGCACAAGATATTTTAGATTTCTAATATTATGAATGAAATTTGGATGCTTTAAAATTAATTTAATAATATTATCATAAATTGTGTCACTATATAAAAAGTAAATCTCAAGTTCAAGAGTATGTAATTTTATCTCATTTTCGATAAATATTTTAAATAGTGATGTACATATATCATTCAATAGTATTGTAAATCTAATTTCGAAGGTTGGAGTTTTAGCTCGTAGCCAATTTTCAAAAGATAAAACAAACTTATGTATATTCAAATGTTTTAAAAACATAGAATAATTAAAGAATGTATTTGAAGGTAATGAATTATTAATAACTTTATATTCTTTTAGTTGTGTTTTAATATCATCATTTAAATATTGTAAGTAAACTTCTAAATAATTATAGTTCCTGGTACGGATTGAAAAAGGATTTTCCCATAATAATGGAGTCACTAAACGACACCATAATCTGTTAATTAAAACGCATGAATATAAAGTTGAAAAATCATTATGAAAATATTTTACAACTTCATAAGTTAATTCGGGCAAATCTCCTAAAAATATTTTTGAACATGACATATTGTAAACGAAAGAAGGGGAGAGAGGGTAATCGTGTATCACATTTTACTATGGATTGTTTAAGTATAATTTTCGGAATGACGATCCCGATATTTGTCGCACAATTTTCGCCAATTTTGCGTAAACATCATAACGTAATTATATGTCAATCAGCGATTGTTTCACTTTAATAATTCTGGACAAAATTATTATAGATTGTATACATATTAAATTTTTCCAATTTATGAAATTTATTCTAATTTAGTGATAAATTATTATGTTATCGTCAACAAAAATGGTCAACATTCATAATATGAATCTATTGATCAAATCCATTACACCAATCAATTATTTTGGAGATAACCATAACATAATGATATAAATTTAGCGGAGTACATAATTCAGACTAGGAATCTAAATATGACCAGATTTATTTTAATTACAAACATATTAATTGTCTTAAAATTTGTTCCCACTTTTCTCAAAATTATCTAAATCGTATCCTTCAGCTATTTACACATATTTAAATCAAAAATCTTGAAAATTCAAAAAAAAAAAAAATGAAATAAAATTAGTGAAATATTTACTACAGGTGGCTATAAACTGATCAACATTTTTTTTTAACCCACTTATTAAACAAATTAGTAATGTAATTTTTCAAAATTGTCTAGTTCAATGTGACTTTGGTAGCTTCAGTATCTGGATAACATTCCCATGTAACTAAGTATTGATGCTGGCATTTCCTAATACGATGTTGAAGTATTCTTTCAGGTACATACCTTTCGGGTTGCCCTCGAATCACAGAATCAGGTGCCGGCTTTTCATTAGTAGGGACTACTTGCAACTCCTTTACAGTAATAACAAAGCTTATTAGAGTAATAATTAACCACTCTGGAAAATTAATTTTTCTAGAATTTTTTCTACTCCTTTGGGCTTCTCTCTACAACTTTTACTCCTGTTATTCTCATTTTGTAATACATTATTGAATGGAATTATTATTACATCAACCAATAGCGCTGGCTACTAGTTTCTATAAGATTATATTTTATGATGAAATTACAATATTTAAAAGTTAAACTTCTTCTTGATTTTCTTACCTCCATTTTCCTTCTTATTTTCTTTCTCCCCTTTTGACTACTTTTATTATCATTTTTTTCAGTAAATAAGACAGGAACTAGTGTTCATAGAGAGAATTTTGTTTTTTCTTTAAATTATGACATGTCAAATTACTGTTTGAGATCCCTTGTTGGACCGATAAAAAAAGTAAAAATTCTTGATAATTTTAATATCAAATAAATAAATAAATATTTTTATTTAGAATAAGTAAAATAATAACAAATTTATTGTAATACAAAAGAATATTCCTATCTAATATTTTCCAATTATTATTACTAATAGTTAATTAACTTCTTTCATATAATCATACAAGTTAATTATTGAGTCATGATAACTTTGCACTTTAATATCATACAACATAAATTCCTTCACTTCGTCTTTCAATGAAAACAATTCATCACTAACGAATTCAGATCTAAAGAAAGCACCATTAATAGCTAAATACTTAACCCTTCTCTTTTTCATGATATATGTTTTTATAGAGGGTAAAATATCTTGACCTTCAGTAAAGTTAAAGTTATTGATCAATAGTTTCTTAATAAATGTATCTTGAGAACTTTTTAAAAATACTTCAAAATCACATGCTTCAATGTAATAAAGATATAAATGCAAATATTCTAATTTAAAAGGAATAATTTCTCCTAATCTTTGTATTACAAATGAATTATTTTCTTTAATATTATCATATATATCGATTGAAAGATAATTAAGATTATGTTTAATATTTTCAATTAAATTGAGTGCTGGAAAAATAATCCGATTATCATTTATATCCAGATCAAGAAATTTGATATTTTTACAATGTATCATAATTAAATCTAATAATTGATGTATTCCCTGAGGGATCCCAGTATTTAGCTCATGTGGATAAATAAGTCCGCAATCATACCCAAAATTTTCTAAATAATCACAAGACTTTTGTATTAATAATTGTAATGATTCAATTTCTGATAACTCTTCTATATTTTCTATAAATAAAGACTTTAATTTAAATGGTTTAGTTAAATTAATAATTTGTTGAGTAAAACTAGTATTTAAAGAAGAACAATGAATTATATGAACGGATTCTAAAACATTTAATTGTTCAAATATTCTATTTAAATTGATTATACCTTCAAAGTCAACGTAAAAGAAAATAATTGTACTTAAGGTGTTTGAACAATTATAATCTTTTGATAACAATAATGATTGATATGAAAAAAAACTATTATCTAATAAAATTTTTTTAAGGTTTTGATGTAACTCAATTATTGGTAATATACGATGTTTAAGTTCCTTATTTTCTACAATATAAAGGTTTAAATTTCTAATATTGTGAATGAAATTTGTATTCTGTAAAATTAACTCAAGAATATCATCTAAATTTATCTTATAAGGAGTATATTTGAAGTCAATTTCAAGAACATTTAAATTTACTTCATTTTCAATAAATATTTTCAATAATGATAAACATATATCAGATGTTAATCTTATAAAATCAGAATAGATTGAAGTTTCATTAGTAGCTTCAAGCCAATTTATAACAGAAGAAATAAACTTAGATATATTCAAATATTTTAAAAAACTAGAATAATTGAAGAGTGTATTTGAAGGTAATGAATTAATAATAATATTATATTCTTTTAATTTCGCTTTAAAATCATCATTTAAATATTGTAAGTAAATTTCAATATAATTATAATTTTCAGTATGAATTGAAAAAGGATTTTCCCATAATAATGGAGTTGCTAAACGACACCATAATCTGTTAACTAAAATACATGAATGCAAAGTTAAAAAATCATTTTGAAAATATTTTATAATTTCATAAGTTAATTCGGGAAAATTTCCTGAAAATATTTTTGAACATGACATATTGTAAACTAAAGGAGAAAAAGAGAGGTATTTGTGTATCACATTTTACTATGAATAAATTTAAATTTTCGGAAATGGTGATTCCGATATTGTCGCACAATTTGTATTGTGTAACGTCACTGACGTAAATAACAAACTTATAATGTCAAGAATTAAAAAACTCGTCTAATTGATGATGCCGATCATGCAATATTAATCAAAATTTTTTTAAGCCGTAATAAACTTTTAATCTCTAATTTTTTTTTACCAAAATTTTTTAATGTTTAGGTTGATATTTTTTATAACTTATACCCTCACAGTGCTTTATTATAGAAAATCTATTTTATGTAAATGCTTAGGTTAATAGGCACCCTATTAAATATAATTTATAATAATAAAATTTATATAATAAATACCTACCCTTTAACTGTTGAAATCACAACTTTTTTGAATCATGGAAAATGATTGTAATTAAAGTTAGAGTTCACTTAATTTAATTCTTTTTTTGCTTCATTTATGCGAGTTATGTTTAATTTTTTTATAAATTATTCGAAGCTTTATCTACTTTTACTCCGTTCAGTTATTCCCATTTCATATATCTGTGCATCCAGCATTACATTTAATAAGATATTAAGATATTTATGATAGAAATATTGTTACAACAATGCTTAAACTTCTTTGTTGCATCCTCATTTTAATTTTCTCCTCCTTTTGGCTACTTGGTTTAATAATTTTTTTCCAGTAAATAATACAAAAACCAAAAGTTAATAGAGCATAATTATGACAAAACAAATTATTGTATCACCAAATAAAGAAAGAATTCAGATTTTTGAACTAATAAAAACAATGATAATCTCAATAACAAGTAAATGAAAACAATTCCTTATCATTTATTCTAAAAAAAACATTAATAGCCAAATACTTAACCCTTCTTTTTTTAAAAGATATATTCTTAGCTTTTATAGAAGGTAAAATATCTTCCTGATTATAAATGCTACAGATTAATAATTTCTTAACAAAAGTATCTTGAGAATTTTTTAGAAATACTTCAATATCACATTCTCTAATCACTTATAAAACGCTTTATTTGCAGCCAGTCCACTTTTCGCAAGTGCCACAAAGTTTTACTATACAACAGCGATTGCTCATTTTCTTTCTACCATAGCAACATACCCAAATTTGAAGAAAAATTACGATTGTTGTTCTTTCAAGGTTCCTAATGAGAATCCTGAGATGAATTTCAGTTTCAAAGTTCATTTTTTTTCTGAAGAAATATTACTAACTTTTCTTTACTCTCTTTTTGTAGGTTCTCTCCAGTTTCTATTTCTGCTTTAGATACTTCAAAGGCATAAATTTTGTTATTATTTTGTTTTGTTTTTGATAAAACATTAACTAATGTTTTGCAATTTGTCTTTTTGCAGGTCCAACATCTGATTTTGGATTATGTAGGTCCAAACAATAAGAATCAGAAAAAGTAAGCTTCATATTAAAACCTAACTTCTTTAAATGTCATATTAATGTTTTTTTTATTTGTAGATTTTGGGACCATCTGGATAGTGATATGTTAAAGAAGTGATAAGTTTTGTCTCATTTCAAAACTTTTTTTTCAATTTATTTTTTTGAAAGAAATATCATGTTAATTTTTCCTTTATTTTGTAGGTTTTGGGACTATCTTTTCATTAAAATGGTAAGATTTGTAATGTTTTGTTATATAACTTTAATATTTTATAATATTTTAAATAGTGAAATAGTAAACCTTTTTTTTTTTAAAGAATTTGGCTAGAATTCAAATTTTTATTGTAGACTTCAATTCAGCTATAAATGGATGCGAATGTAAGTTTTGAAACTTAAATTTTTTTTTGATTTACTGTTTATCTTATTTTTTCTAGTTTTAGAGTTTCAGGAAAAGGAATTAATTAGGTCTTGCAAATATCTGACAAAAGTTTTTTTAAAAAAATAACATTATACTAACTGGTTCTTATATTCTTTTAGGTCTCCTTTAAACAAAATTGCTTTTTTAAGGACAACTTCATTAGACCTTGTACTTCTCAAGTATATGCATAGATTTTTCGAGTGGGGCTTCTGGGAAAATGAAAGACCAAGTTTTGTACGTATCAAAACTTGATTTTTTTGTTGCATTGAGTCACTCCAAGTCAGTTTGGTTCCAAATTCCACTCTGAACATGTTTTTTGAGTCACTCACTCTGTCTTATTTCAATTTGTAGAACCAAGTTGAATCAATAGAGTCATCATCATCCCTACCCATCATGCATACTTTATACATGATGAAAGTAATACAAATGGAAAGAATTATTCAATTTTATTTTACAGCTGTTTATTTTATTACTTACTGTATTTATTATATTATTGCTATAATATAATTACATAGCTGCCACTAGGTGGTCTAGTAATTTAATACATGTTTACTTTAATATATATTTAGGTCACCTAAAATACTATAAATTGATTAATAACACAAATACTTAGTAATCTATAAGTATTGTAAAAGCTGCTAATTAGTAAATTATTAAACTATCTATAGTAATTTACAAGTTGCTTATTTATAATTCATTTAGCTATCTATAGCTTCTACAAATTTTCATTTAAAACTAGCAGTAGTAATTCTTAGGTTTCAGTAATGTGTGGGGTGGAATCTTTCTATATATGAAGTTTTCCTATGAATAATACCATAATATATATACTTTATTCTTCATTTATTTTTCCAATTATTATTATGTACTTTAAATTAAGGTGGAAAATTTTATTAGGTTATTTAATAGTACTTATTGTTTTCTTTAATTCTATTATTTATTATTATATAGCTAGTACTTACATTGTATTTTCAATTTACTAGTTATCTAGTGGCAAAATTTTTGTTAACTCAAGATCTTTTGTTTCATTATTAGTTGATGCATTATTTGTATTATCCCTATTTCTGGAAAAAGGTTAATAAATGATTATTTTCCTCCAAAAATTCATATAGTATATAATCAACTCTAAAAAATTTGTGCAAATATCTAGAGCTCCGAACAGGTCAGCCAAATTCAGGTAACCTGACCTGACCTGACCTGAAGTTCAGGTCAGGTATGAGATTTTAAAAAAAATTCAGGTCAGGTATGAAGATTGACCTGACCTGATTGACCTGTTGACCTGAAACTATTGATTCTACTATATAATAAAAGTGAGTTGCAGTATTGCGATTCACTTTTTTATATTGATTTTATATAATAAAAGTGAGTTGCAGTATTGCGATTCACTTTTTT